GCTCTAGAAAAATGCCTGACACATACATAGTAGGACCACATAAATATTGAATGAGTAAATTTTATGTGTGTGTGTGTTTCCATAGTCTTAGTAAAGGCAGAGTCTTTAACAATCAAAATTCTGAGACCAGGATAAGGATGGCTTGACTGCCTACTACAACTACAAGGATATATGTATGTATATTTATATAGATATTCATTTAAATCTATACCCTGGAGTGGCATTATCAATGCTGGGTGGAAATTAGAACCAACTGGAGAATTTTTTTTAAATCAATATCTGGACTTTAGAGCAAAGATTCAGATTTCATTTACCTGGGTTGAGACCGAGGCATCAACATCATTTAAAAGCTTCAGAGATGATTCTAAGGTGCACCCAGCCTTGAGAACCACTGCCCTAGGAAATGTTAGTTCACTTCTGAGGTGCCCTAACTGGGAGATTACACTTGTAGTGGTTAGTTAGCATTTGAAAGATGCTATGAGCTGCTCATGCTCCAGAGGAGGCTACCATAAGCACTTTTAACTATCTTTACCTCTAAGTGGTACTAAAGGATTATTTGTTAATTAGCATTAGAAATGTGACAAATTATTTGTCATTGAGAGGAGGATTCTAGATACGTGGTTCGGCTAGAAAAGAATATAAGACTTCTATCAGCTGTCAGCTAAGTATTTAGCCCCATTATGTGTCAGGCACTTTGCCATGCCCTTTGGTGTCCTAGGCCTATAGTGAGTACTAGGACTTGGTCCTAGTACTTGTGGATCTTGTGTTGGGCCATATATGGAGGTTCTGTCATCTGATTAAACTAGAAAATTAACTGAAATCTGCTGCTAGAATGTGGTTTCATTTGCCTCAAGTGAACATTTTAGCTGGATACTGTCCAAGGCCCTAGATGGACAGAGGGCTGGCTTCATTCAGTTTATAGAACAGTCCGTGTGGCTGTATGTGCCTGTGGGCTGACATGGATTCATACGTGTGGCAGAATTTGGATAGAGACACATAATTTACTGTGACAAGGCACCTGCTGTAAGGTGTGGGGGCGAGACCTACAGTCTTCATCTACCTCCACCATTGGAGGCCGCCGATATCCACAGAGGGGGAGCTTTGACTGCGTTGCTTAGGGCAGTTTGTGCACACTTTCTGTCCATTGCCCTGGGTAGAAGAGGACTTTAGCCTTGACTTTCTCCTTTGAGAGGCGATAAAGGCAGATGCCACAATCTTGCTCAAAATGTCCCCAGTACGTTCAGCTTGTCAAATATAGGTGATTCTGTTTCTGATTGGTGGGGGAGGGGAAACAACTTTGAACCTTGTTTGCTTCACTTTTATGACCTCCCTTTGGCATTTTCGAGTGTGTAACTGAGCCACGGCTTGGCCGTAAGGATACTTGGATTTCTTATCAGGCAAAGTCAGCCACTTCTCTGAGCCAAGGAAGGTGAGTAGCAGCTGAGACTGGGAAGGCTATTAAGAGAGATGGCAAAATGAGCAATTATAAGTGCAACAGCAGAACAGGGTGTCTTCCAAGTCAGAATCTGGCTACAGTCCTTGGAGTCCTTCCTTTAGTATCAAGGCGGGTCCTAAGGACAAAAAGTGTCGAAATAAAATTTTATGTGCTATAAAATGCATTTGTAGCAAATGAAAGTGATCACTATGAAAAACAGCCTAAAGGTCTGTAAATAAGAGAGTGGTTAAATAAGCAATGGTATGTCTACACATGGAAATCCATGCAGTTGTTCAAAATAATGAGATAGATTTGTTTGTGCTGGTAGAAGATGATCTCTAAGACACATTATCAAGTGAAAAAAATCAAGTATGAAATCAAAACTCAGTAAGATTGCAATTAAGCAACATTCTTTCTGTGTTGTTTTCAGTTTTAACAATGTCATATTTATATATTGCTTACATAGTTCAGAAAATATAATAAGAAAAATAAAAAGTCTGAGTAGAAGTACAACGTCCTAAAATTTGGAAAGACGAAATTGTCTTGGAGCTGAGCTATGGCACATGAACCCAGGTGGTGTCTGGACAGGTCTTTCATACTCTGAGTGACAGCAATAAGTCATTTACACCTGCTCCTCTGCCTCTCACCTTCTCCATCTGTAAACACAGATATAATTCTGGTCCCTCTGAAATGTATAAATCTTGTGGGGAGGGAGAAAAGGCTCATGCGGTAACACTGGCAAAGCTCAGGGACACTTCCCCTGCTCATTCTGGCCACAGATGGCTGACACTGGGTTGCTAAAGAATGGTAGAACCAACTTGGAGTTCTGTTGTCTTAATTCATCTTGATAAGGAAAGGTTATGCCTAGTTCGAGGCTATGATAAAGCCTACAAATTTCAGAACTTACTCTATTAGGTGGACTTTTATGGGAATGAAGCTCTTTAAAAACAACTGACAGAGAACTCTCCTCTAGCTGAGTTTTGTTCTCAATTTTGATGACTAAGAATGATTTGAAAAGAGAATTTTCTCTTATGTATTGCTAAGGAGCTAATTGTATCTAGAATCTCTTTTTGAAAAGCAAATTCTCTCATGTTTTATGATGACAAACTGGACCAACGTGGAAAGAGAGGGAGTGGAGAGGCCCTGCAGTGATTTTGCTGGTCTGAAGATACCCCAGGATCTGCCCAGTGAGGGAGATCTAAATTGGTCACCTCAAAATATGTCTTTTTACCTAGGTTATTTTATCAATAGATTGGGAGGGTCCTTGCTAAGACCAAACACTTACATTTATAAGGGAAATCTCCATTTGTAAAGGTATATCCCTCTCTGTACCAGGAAGAAGGGGGGATGAACTTATCTCTCGAAATTCTTATCAGTGTGGAAGGCAAGGACTTAAATCTGCATAGTAACCTTACTCTTGATTACTGCGCTTTCTGGTAATCTCCCATAGCTGACTCCCCCACCCCCAACATTCTCCTTTATCTATCTGAATATGCTATTTAAGGTGAAAACCTCCACCATTTGTTGAGAAATTCAGTTTCCCTGGTTTCTCCCATGTATACATGTTATAAAGCTTTGTTTGATTTTCTCCTGCTATTCGATCTCATGTCAATTTAATTGGTAGCCCAGCCAGAAAGGACCCAGAGTGGGTAGAAGATAGTCTTCCTCCCCTTCATCAGCTTGCTCCTTTCTTTAAATTCAGCCCATTCCCTCACCCCTTCCTCAACTGTCATCCTTTGCAAATTTTTCTTCAAGACTTCCTAGAGCCTCCTGTACAGAACTAGCCAGGTTTGAGGGGATAATTAAATGACTAGAGGAAGGAATGGGCTTGGTGAGCCATCTGACCCACTTTTATTTGCATTATTTAAGGTGATTTGAACACTGAAGAACATTTTAACCAGTTTTGGTTGGGCCCTGAGTGGGTCTAGGTATGAATTGCTTTAGAAAATCTGCTCTGGGTTCAATGATTCTCTGCTTCTGTTGGATGGAATCAAAACTCTTCAACAGAAAATCCACCAACTAGCTGTGTATCTGTAGCAAATTCTTAATGTTTCTGTGCCTCAGTATCCTCTCTGTAAAATGAAAGCATTGGTCTTGCTCGAACTTTGAGGGTACTCACAGCTCTGGGATGCCATATTCAAGACCCTTAAACAACCCAGGACCTTTCCCCAAAGACATCTCCTAATGGTCCTCTCAGTTTACGTCAGCCTGGAACAAAAAGGCATAAGAAATGGTAGGAAAAGCTTAAATGGACACTTCTTACTTAGACGAAGAGATCAGTGAAAATAGCAGTAGCCGTCTCCATCTTAAAGAAAATACCAGGAAATTTCCTTTAAGTAAAACTCCTTTTAGGATAGAACATTAGGAGACCAGAACAGATACAGGAGTTATTGGAAGGGTTCCTCTTTGCCAGTGTTTTGGTTTTGGTGGGGGTCAGTGTCTCATTCTGAAAGTGCCAGAAAAATCATCCACTGGCTGATCATTTCAAGCCGGAAGAAGAGAGTGGCAGCCCCATTTGTTGGGTGGGTAAGTTTAAGGGAGTGAGAGACACAGAAAGGTCAACCTACCATCCTAATTAACACTCCCCTCCATTAATACTCTCTCTCTCTCACTCTTCCCTCCTTTCTCTTATTCAAAAAAATAAGATTTTAAATGGCTTTGAAGATTGTAACCCCAGTTTCTCCTTGAACTGTAAAAAGATCTAAATATTTTTACATAATTTAACACCTTAGAGATGAGAAGCCAGAAACAGAGGTCTTTTTCACCCCTCCCCAAAGCAAAGCTCACAGCCCCTCTGGCAACGTGTCTCAAACCTTGATGCATCAGAATTATCTGGGTTCTTTGAAAAACACAGATTCATGGGAGTCACCATAAATTGACTCAGAATGCCCTGGAGTGGGGCCCAGGGATCTGCATTTTTGACAAGCTTCCACAGGTGAGTCTTTTACCCACAGCATCTGACAACTTTGGCTCTATGACCTAATCAATCATTGCTAATAACTGGTCTCATATAATCTATCTCGGGACCATTCGGATTCTTTTTGAATAAAACATGTTCCAGTAAGCATGCTGTTTTAGAAGACAGTAAGCATGTCATGTGCTAATTATGGCAGTGACGCCATAAAATAAAAAGCATTACTGAATGCTTTCAATTTCTTATAATGAGGGTAAGGTGGCATGTCATGGGGCCTTTTTAGCCCCAGACATCACTTCAGGGAATTCCAAACAGATATAGCAAGGGCCATTAGGACCCGGATCCTTTCCTCTCAGGTCATTTACCCATGGGAATAGGATGTCCCAAAGCAACACTTCCCCCCAGTGAAGTGTTGATAAGTCTGGTTATCAGAAAGATATTATTGGGAGTGTGATATGCAGAGCATTTACATTTTCTTGATAGGGTTAGTCATATGAAAGCTGACAAAGAAGGAAAAAGAGCAGCGCTGTGGTGCAATATCAACAGACAGCTGTCCCCTGGCTTCTCGATAAATAGGATGACTTGCATTGCTGAGCGGTGTGGTCACTGCCAAAGGCATGGCCCTCTCACATTTCTTCCTGATTCACATATTCGGTGTGGTTACTTGTCATCCCCTCCCTCTTCTGCTTCCCAGACACTGCGTCTGGAATGAAAATTCACCTGCCTCTGAGTTGGCCACTGGTGGGGGCAGGGGTGTTACTTGGGTTCCCAGGTTGGAAGATTATCTCACCCAGCCCTGTCTATATAAGCTGACCAGTGTGGAGGGGCTCACAAGGGATTCATTCCACAGGAGGAAAACATACAGACATGAAGATGCTGAAAGTAGAAGAGCTGGTATGTAAGACATATTATTTTTACCCAATGAAAAGTGGTTCAGTCTTGATTTTTATTGGAAAATTGAAATGCCCTTTTCTTTCAGGCATTATGCATAGGTACTCTGAAAATGTCACGTATGGAAAACGGTTGGTTTAGGTGATGAAATAAGTGAAATTGGAAAAATGGAGCTAGCGGTGATGGATTCTCTACATATTTCCTATTTATTATCTTCTCCTTTGGTTTTATTACTAAAGTGTGGAATCACATGCAGTTATCAAAATGCCTTAGGGAAGAAGTTCTATTGCAAGAATATATATCTGGAAACTTTACAACTCAAGATCAAGAGTCATCAAAAGTGACTAAAATGGAAGAATTTTAAATAATCAGAGGGGGTTTGGGATTTTCCTAGGAGAGATGTGATTAAGCAGATTTAAAATAGATTTAAACATATCAAGCTAACCTATGCTTTGATTTAATGGAGTAGGACAAGCACCTGAAGGTAATCCTAGACTACTGCAGCAATACATCACAGCTCAAGACCTGAGAGTTCACTGCACAGAGGTGGCCGTCACCAGGGAGGGACGACCAGTTAGCATCCTCTGTGGAAATTGACCCCAGGACCCCACTACTTCTGACCCTACCATCTTCTTCCCTCTCAGGTCACAGGGAAGAAGAACGGCAGCGGGGATACAGGAGAGTTCCTTCCTGAGGATTTCAGAGATGGAGAGTATGAAGCTGCTGTCACTCTAGAGAAGCAAGAGGACCTGAAAACACTTCCAGCCCACTCCATGAGCCTGGGGGAGCAACAGTGGAAAACTGAGAAGCAACGAGAGGCAGAGGTAAGAACCTTCCATAGAATCCACAGTGGGAGGTTGGGCATGGAGTAGGGATAGAGGTGCCAAGCAGGAAGGAGAAAAGAGAGAAACAAAATAACCATAACCATTCCAAAGATGTTTCTTTACCAAATTCGAGCCCACAAAGAGGCAACTTCCATGGGTCAGGTTGTGGGAAATAATTCTTTGGCAAGATTATGATCTTTGGGTTCTGAATCAATGATTGAATGTTCTGTGACCATGTTGATTGAAAGACTTGAAAGAGAAACATGTCCAGTGAATTTCTGATGTCAAACACCATCTAGTTAATCCCAAGCAAAGGAGACGTCTTTTTCTCCATAATGTGGTTTGTGGTCCACGGATCATTGTTGGACTGTGTCTGCTATCTGTGTTGACAAGATCTGAGTTGCCGGGTGAATTTTCATTACTTACTAACCACAGATAAAAGGCACATGAGTTAGCTGTCGTCCCAGGACAGTCTGTCTCGTGGACCCTGCTTAGTGGGCCACCTGAAAAAGACTGGCATTGACATTTCAGAGCTTGATGCTTATTAATGGATTCTTTTGGGTTAAAAAAAAAAAAAATCTTGAGCATGATGAAAACAATCCTACAGAAATCTGGGGTTTGTTTATGGAAGTAAATACAAAATCATCACTCAGATACTAGATCCTATCTCTAGTCAAAAGCTGACGCTACAAGCAAGAGAAGTGAAGCTGAAGGCAATTAGCTGAAAAATTCGACCCCCAAATACTTGAATAAGAACTGAATTGAATTGAATTAATTGAATTAAATAAGAATTCACTAAATCAGAGCCAAAGATTTATTTAAAAATTTTTTTTTATTTTTTTTGCTCAAACTCTTCACATACTTATCTCAGACCTTGCAGATTTTGTTTAGACACAACCAGAATGCTTGTCAGTAGAACTCACCATATTTTGAAATACGGATTTCTTTTTTAGCTCAAGAAGAAAAAACTAGAACAAAGATCAAAGCTTGAAAATTTAGAAGACCTTGAAATAATCATTCAACTCAAGAAAAGGAAAAAGTACAGGAAAACTAAAGTTCCAGTTGTGAAGGAGCCTGAACCTGAAATCATTGTAAGGACCGTTTGGCTTTGTAGTATCACACGTCCGGCCTTGCGCTACAGGGGAATGAATATCTGTGGAGGGTTTGATTGAATGCTGGAAAGCTCGTGGTAACTCACACACTATTTTTTGGCTTTAGACAGAACCTGTGGATGTGCCTAGGTTTCTGAAGGCTGCCCTGGAGAATAAACTGCCAGTAGTAGAAAAATTCTTGTCAGACAAGAACAATCCAGATGTCTGTGATGAGGTAAGGCTTATACGAAGCACTGCAAAATCCAGCTCATTAATTTCGTGTTTCTTATGCTTTACTGCAGCCGTGCTAACATGGTGCCAAAAATCAATCCACCTGAAACAGTTTCCCCAGCTGTTGCCACATATGCCAGTAGCATAATAGGAGCATGCAGTGGTCCAAAAAAAAAAAAAAAAAATGCTGGATTAGTGTTACAGATTGCATCTTTTTTTGCACTCTCATGTACTTCTGGCTGATTTTTCAGTTTGTCTTTAACTTTTTAGATCCTTGGGATAGACTTTTAATAAGGCAGGACCAACAAGTCACCTTTGGAGAAATACATTATTAGCATTGACTTTGATTGGACTCAAACACATATGTCTAGACAGGGAATCTGGAGACTGGAGTTCAAGTGCCAGCTCTATTACTACTTGGCTATTTGATTTTTAGCAGCTAATTTGCATTTCCTGAACCTCAGTTTCCTTATCTGTAAATAGAGGGCACTGGAGTGAAATCATGCCAAAAGTTGTTCCAGCTCTCATAGGCTATTCATCCATTCATATGAAGCCGATTTATCAGAAATCACTAATCCTTTTTGTATTCTTTCCCCCATGAACTGAAATGGGGAATCATTTCTGAAGTTGAACTAAAAATGAGTCTCCCGTTCTCTTAAAAATGAATTGAATACTTTCTGATATTCAACCTAGCAACAGTCCCAGTTGGAAGAAAACTATCTGATTTGCATGGAAATACTACACAAACAATGAAGGTGCAAAATACAAGAAAGGAAAATGTCAGCATTTTGGTAGTTTTGAACCTTTAAGTTCACATCCCTCCATGTAGACCTCTGAGCACTTTGCAGGAAGCTCAAATGTCAGTTGCAGGATAATTGTTCTAGTTCTGGAAATTATAGTAAACTTGACATTTCTAATTCATAAAGAAGCACTCAAGTTCCTATCAGTTAGGACATCAGAGTCCCCAGCTTCACTCCTCTTAGAAAGGATTTATGCACATTTTTATATGCATTGTTATCTCTCTCTCTTTTCTTTAAATCTCTATTTGACAGTATAAACGGACAGCTCTTCATAGAGCGTGCTTGGAGGGACATTTGGCAATTGTGGAGAAGTTAATGGAAGCTGGAGCCCAGATCGAATTCCGTGATATGGTAAATATATTTCTTTGCTTGGAAAGAAGCCAAAATAAGTAGACTATATGAAGCTTGAGAAAACCTACAATGAAATACTGGGCTGATTGGATTGAAAATTGATCTGAGAGAACTAGGCAAAAGCTCATTTCTTCATACAAAGGAAAGTTGGGAGATACGACTATGTCATGTGGAAAGTATTTTCCATACATACTGAAAAGGAGAGGAGTATTCCAGGGAAAGGAAGGAAGTGAAAGCTGTTGAACAGAATTCAATATCCTCATCAGACAGTTGGGTCATTATCAAGTCAGTAGCATTACTGAGAAGTAATACCGTCAACACTTGCCTTTCAACATCCCTGTCCTTCCATTATACCCGGCAGTGTGCTGGTGGCCTCCTGGCTGCCAGCAATGCATCAGAATTCTCTAGCTGCACACCTTATGTGATAGATGCCAACTGCCATCGATGAGATTTGGGGCCAGACTGCATACTAAATGTACTGCATGTATGGAAAGTAGCTGTTATTCAGACCTCCATAATTCAACCACTATAATTTCTACAAAGACCAGTATGCAGTATATTTTATGAACTGAAGATTAAAGCTGGGAGAATGCTCTCTTTATTTAACTGTAGTTCAATTTGACTTTATAGCAAAGTGGAAAGGGGATATCAAAAGTCCAGAGAAATTGGCCAAAATTAAACCCAAAAGAAAAACACTTAAAGAAACAACAAAAAAGTTTCCATAGAAAGACACTAAAATTCATAAGTGTGTCATTTGGAAGGTTGGGGATGTACCAAACAGTGCAGCGAGGAGGGACTTTCCTCTGAGTAAGTGCAGGACACAGTGAGCACACGGGATAACACTGGGGGTACAGAGGCTGTGGTAGCACAAATGACAGCAGAGAACCAGCAAGGGATGAGGAGAAAACAACAGGGACACAAGAAGTGTCAGATCCAAAATAAAGTCTTCCGGAAGGGACAACTCTTATTCTGCCAGAATTTTAAAATACATTTGTCTAGAACTTTTGAGTATATTTGGCAAAAGTGGTTAAAAGTTCCAGGCAGATGTGGGTTTGAATATTTATTCTGCCACTTATTAGCTGTGTTTCCTTGGGCAAGAAACTTGAGTATTTTGGAGCCTTGTTCTTCTCATCTGTAAATGAGTACAGTAACACCTCATAATGTCGCTGGGTGGGTCAAGGCATCTAGAGTGTGCAGCGCCATGTTGGCGTGAGAAAATTCTCAATAAATCGTAGTTCTTATTCTTTTTTTAAAAAAGATCTATTAGCTTTATTGAGTCTTCTAATGATGCACACTTATGCACACAGATACACACATACGAGTGCATACACTCACATTCACACACAGAGTTTAGCTAAAACATTTGGCAAGAGCCTTCAACCACAATAGTTAGAATTGGCAGTCTAGACGAGGACAACCATTACCACGAATGCCCTTGCAAACCTGGTGTTCTTGGGCCTTAGAAACCAAGTACTACTTCCTCAGTCCAGGTTCTTCTTTACATTAAGTCATGTCCTTTTATTTTCCTGGTATAGCTTGAATCCACAGCTCTCCACTGGGCAAGCCGTGGCGGAAACCTTGATGTCTTAAAACTGTTGCTGAATAAAGGAGCAAAAATCAGTGCCCGGGATAAGGTATTTCTCCTCCTCCGACCCCCACTTGGTCCCCTACCCCCGCTCTCCTCCTTTCTCTTCTCATTCCCCCCTTCTTCCTCTTCCTCCCTCTCCTTCTCTTCTTCTTCCTCCCCCTCCCTCTCCTCTTTCTCCTCTTCTTCCTCCTTCTCTCCGTCCTCTCGCCCCTCCCTCTCCCCCTCCTCCTCCTTCCCTTCCACTACCAAACCCACCTCACCATTGCTGTTAGCTGCAAGCTAATGTGAGTGGGCACCAGAGTGGCCACTCCCCCACCCCTCGCACATGCCTCGGGGTCTGGCACAGCCTCTGTCCTCACGCCCAGTGAATCAGCAGCGTTCTTCAATTTCCCAGTTGCTCAGCACAGCGCTGCACGTGGCAGTGAGGACCGGCCACTACGAGTGCGCGGAGCATCTCATCGCCTGCGAGGCTGATCTCAACGCCAAAGACCGAGTGAGTAGCTGGGCAAAGACAGGCTTCCTAAAGCTTCATTCCTCATTTATTTGGAATCACTCCCCAAGCCGGGTATCATTTCAGGGCCCACTTCCTGACCTCAGGCCCACCTTTAGCCTGTTCACTCTGCCTTTCTAGGAAGGAGACACCCCCCTGCATGACGCTGTGAGACTGAATCGTTACAAGATGATCAGACTCCTGATTATGTATGGCGCTGACCTCAACATCAAGAACTGTGTAAGTGCTCCAAACACGGGGCCCCACTCGCAGGCTTTCTAATTTACAAAAGCCTGACTTACAAACTTGAAAATATTCCTACAGGGGTAGTATTTCAGCGGTCTTCTGATGGTTTAAATGCCCCTGTTCGTGCCATAAGGACATTGCTAATTTGCAAGAACTCGGGTCACCTGGTCAGAGATGACGGAAGCCATAGTGACTGCTTTGACTTCAGTGCCTAATATGATGTCTAGTAATTTTTTAAAATTTGGTCTTGAAAATAAAAGATGGTCAAATTGCTCATCTTCACAGACACAAGCGCAGTCTGCCTTGGCCGTCCCTGGCTGAGCAAGACACCCACCATTCCTGAAGTGGTCTAAAATTCCACAGTGGTCAATGCAGCCAAGGGCCAATGAACTCAAATTAATCAATACCTAGTCCCAGTAATCCAGATCAGTCCTCCTCTCCTTACAACAGCATGACACGCTGCCACTTTCTTCCCAGGGTAGCATACTTTTTGCCTATATTCTTGAGATAATTTCCATTCATTCTCCACTTTGGTTTATCTGCACATCCCTCAAAATAATTTCCTATATTTAGGCCCTGAAAATGCTTGTATAAGTCCTTTCTACAAGTACATATTAATTTAGCTTCATCTGTAAGCAGGGAACGTAACCAACTTTTCCTCTTGGTCCCAATTCCCAGACACACGTCATCTAATATAAGCTTTAAAAATATCACCCAGAGGAATGGGTGTAAATTACTGAAGAAATAACTTGAAAGAAGCTTTTGGAGAATCACTTTACAAAGAAGGAAAAGAAAACCCTAGTCATCTTGTAATGTGAATAATTTCTTCCCCTTATTGTGTTACTATGAGACTAAGAGAAATATTTTATCACTAAAAAAAAAAAAGAATACTGGTTTGGTGACAGGAACAAAGAATAAGTGCAACAAATAGCAACTGCTTGGGGTAGGAAAGCGTTAACAGTAGGGTTCCCCCATCCTTGATATTGGGACTGGTCTGATCTAATTAAATAAACTATCAGAAAAAGAGTAGATTCAATGAACTCTCCAAAGCTGCAGAAAATATGATAATTTTTTTTCAGGCAGTGAGACATTATCAGCAGAGAGGGAGAGCATACAGATTTGGGGACACTGTGTAAGCAGCCAGAAAATCAGGAGATGAGTTTCTTTCTTTTTTTTTTTTTAATTTTATTTATTTATTTCCCCCCCAAAGCCCCAGTAGATAGTTGTATGTCATAGCTGCACATCCTTCTAGCTGCCGTATGTGGGATGCGGCCTCAGCGTGGCCGGAGAAGCGGTGCGTCGGTGTGCGCCCGGGATCCGAACCCGGGCCGTCAGCAGTGGAGCACGCGCACTTAACCGCTAAGCCACGGGGCCGGCCCAGGAGATAAGTTTCAATAGAGAGGAGTGGAAGGAATTTATGGAAGAATAGCCCAAAATATACAAATAGGGCTCATGGCTCTGAATTATCAGTTAGATCCAGGCATAAGGGTTCTGGAACTATTAATGTCATTGACCCAATGGATCAATGTTCCTAAAAAAGACCAATAAGCTATTGGACACCATGTTGAAGGGAATTCGAAACACCACTCGATACAGTCTTCTATCATTGTCCAAAACTCTGTCTTCATGTCTGCTCATAAGTGTTTCTCAAGGAAGACACTACTGAGGTGAGAAGTTCTAAAATGAAGGTTACAGGGCCACTAACTCAGATATGCATAGGGGCCAGGCAGATCACATAAATGACTTAAATGGGTGGCTGCGGGAGTCTGCACACATAACTTTTGAAGGTGGTGGCTCTTCCCCAACCCAGTCCGTTGCTGCTCTGTGGAACCACGGGTATCATGCTGCCAACTCTTCTGATTTTTTTCAGAGAGATCACAAATTCAGTTGGGAAATCTCTTCATTTCCAACTGTCACCAATTAATTCCAATTTAGAAAAAAAATCTAAGCTCTGTTTGGGCCCAAACAAAACAGGTCTCTAGACTGATTTGCATCTCAAAGCTGCCAGTTTGCAATCTTTGGGTTAAAAAGAGACTTCTGAATGAATAGAAATGGAAAAATTTAAGTACTTCTCACATTTAAAGACAAGAATTGAGAGGTGACATGGTTTTAATTTTTGTAAATATTTTGAGACCTATGCATAAGGGAAACAATTTTGGTCTTAAAAATTTATTCATAGATGTCCTTGATATCACTTCCAAGAAAAATAAATTTCCTGGGAGAGTCCAATGTAACCTCTGAGCAGTTGTGAAAAATCTGCCCCCTGGAGCAGCAATAGTATTGAGCAGTACCTGAGTACTTAAGCAAAGGTGTTGAAGTAGCTCATTTATCACCAGTTTTTTATCAATCAAGGAATCTTCTTCCAAATCGATAGGAACTGGTTTTTGACCAAGAGGCCAAGATTACCACCCTGCGCCCATTCTGCAGGATACTGGAGACATATGGAGGCATGTTGTGAATTTCAAAATGTTTGGTGTGCTCTTGCCATTCACTGTCCAGGGACTAGGGATTTTTACCAATACCTGAAATAATTCCATAGGAAAAAAAGCATTGCTAATCTGAAATGCCAGAAGCGTTCCCTGAGAAACAGTGAAGGACTGGTTTGAATACAAACTGCAGATCACTCCTAATGGAAAGCATACAACACTTCAATAACGTCCACCTATCCATTACCTCATTAAACACACACAGAGAGAGGCTGTGAATTTAGAGATGCCTCCCGTATGGAAGTCAAATTTCCTCATCTGTTTTGATTAGGCTGGGAAGACCCCAATGGATCTGGTGCTACATTGGCAGAATGGAACCAAAGCAATATTTGACAGCCTCAAAGAGAACTCCTACAAAACCTCTCGCATAGCTACGTTTTAAGAGAAATGACGACAGACTCTTTCCTCAGCTGCTCATCATCACTATTTTGAAGGCACCGCCCCAAAGAAGAGCAACTAGTTGTGAAATCCAGCTTCTCTTCACCAGCCTGTTGTAAAGCTGCACCTAATGAAGTTTTGTGAAAGCACAGGGATAGAGGTATTGAAATTTCTCTTACTGAAACTCACTTTATTTATTTTTATTTATTCCTGTTTATTTATTTTAAAAAAAATTTACTTCGATACCACTGATATTCAGCTCCTTCATAATCATCCATTTGGTGAGAAAACTTAATTTGTATATAACACTTTGGAGCCTTCTTGTAGACAATCCTTAAACCATGTTAATGAGCAATGCTCTCAGTGCCTACCTACGCGTCACCTTGCTCATGTATTTTAAGGTGTTTTTTTAAAAGACAAAGGTGATTATGCAGTCCTCTTTTCTCTTGAATTTTTAATGCTGAAGTTTGAGGCAATGGAAGGCATGTGGTGACAGGGGAGGAAACAGTAGAACGAGAGTGATTCTGTGGGGAAGACAGTAGAGCGAGCCTGGGCCTGGTATTTCTTACCAAGTCAAGCACTGTACCAAGGCGACTAGAATGTCAGGAATGTGCGCGGGGCGCAGTGGAAGGAGCAGGCACCTGGGCCATGCAGAACTGCATCTGCTCAAAGACTACGAAAGTAACTGCAAATTGTAAATGTGTAAATGTACATTATGTTGTATGTATACTTTATATTCATAATAAAAGCAACAAACTAAATCTCTTTCTAAGTACTTCTGTAAGTGTAATAGGAAACAACCCTGTGAAAAAGGCTATTTAGATGGGGTTTTTCTTGTCTTCCAAATATTCCAGGTTAGGAATGTCCTGTAGAACAGCACTGCTATCTAATGCGTATACAGATCACCTGAGGATCTTGTTAAAATGCAGATTCTGATACTGCCTGTCTCACGTGGGGCCTGAGATTCTGCATTTCTGACGAGGTCCCAGGTGATGCAGAGGTGGTGGATGCCACAACCACACATCCAGCAGCAAGGCAAGATCAAGGCAGCACAAGGTACAGAGGAGGGCGAGTTCTTCTGGCCCCAACGATGGGGAGAAAGAGACCCCTGGTGGGAAGAATGATTACTGCAAGTTATACAAGTGCTCCTTAAGAGGTTCCCATCAGGGCTGGACTAATCTGAGGTTCCACAACTACTGTGGACCCCGGCTGGCAGTGTCAACGACACCCCCCCACACACACACCCCGCCACGAGAAAACACACCTGGTCAATGATTTTTGACCTCCAAGGGGAGCTACTTTGTTGTCAGGTGCTGGGCCAGGTGTTAAGACCTGTGATGAGAAAACCAGATTGTCCCCTGCCCCATCTTCCTGGAAAAGAGGAATATTAAAGAAGTCATCACAGGAATAAATATAGAGTAACAATCCGTGGCAAGCACAATGACGTAAAAAATACAGAGCGCTGTGAGAGTCTACGATGTGGAGCTACATCATTTGATGGGGGCAGAGATTTCCACAAAGACTTCTTTGGGGTGGTGACCTTTCAGGGGAGTCTGAAGGAGAAACTGGAGGTATTCAAGCACAGTGTTCCAGGCAGCAGAGAGAACACAGGAAGGGGCGAGGTTATGGGAAGAGTTTGGCACTTTAGGAAATATATGAAGGCCAATGTGAACCACTAGCACTGGTATCCCCTCCTGCCCACCCCGCCCCAGCCCAATACTCACTCCAGATAGGATCATACACATAATCTCTTCACGATGCCTCTAACACTTGGAGAGGTCGTATAGTCACAGTCCATATAACCAGGTTTCCCAGTTAACTGGTCACGGATACATCTGGAGTTGTGAGGATGGTCTGAAATATTTTTGAACTTTTTCTATCTAGTCTCCTAACAATCCAGAGTTCACCTCCTAGGGGCATTTGCAGCTTCATTCTCTCTGTTATCTCTCTCTCTCCCAATCCCCTTTTGCCACCCCTCTGCCCTCCCTTGAGGGTCCTGGCTCTGACCTGTCAGATCCTTAAGGCTCAGTGTCCTTCCTTCTCTTCCAAGAAAGCACCTACAACACAGGCAACATTTTTCTTGCTAGTACTGATGTCTCCCACGGCATAACCTGGGTGTATTACTACCTGATCAAGTTCTCCCTTTATGATGTCTTCCTCAAGTCCCCTTCCCTGTGAGAGCTGGGAGGGTAGAGGGAAGAGAGTAAGGGGTTAAAACACTTTCGTGTCACCACATAAAGATTCGCACTAGTCCACAGGTAGAGGACAGGAGAGACAACATGGAATAAGTCCCATTAGAACAAGGCAACTCAGTCACCTCTGCTAATGGAAAATATAAAAACACTTCAGGTAAAACTTTCAAGTTTCTGTCACAGGTGGTCAACTTTTTAAGTTGTCTTCTCACCTGAGGCAGCTCTTTGTCCACAACCTGTCCCTTTTCTTGCATTTTCTCAGTGAAGAGAACCTTCCATTGGCCAACAGAGACTCCTGGAGTTGTTCTTAACATCCTCTTCCCTCACCTCTCTCTCTTGCAGTCAACCACCAAGTCTCCTCACCAAGCACACTGCTCTGTAATCTGTCCACCTCCTCCCATCCCAGGGGCCACTTCCCTAGGCCACTCAGATCACCATGGCATCTCCCTGGATTACTCAAATGGCCCTTGCTGGGCTCCCGGCCTCCTGCTTCCTTCCTTCCAGTCTGTTCTTCAAGTTGCAGCCAGAGTGATTTTTCTAAAATGCAAATCTGGTCAAGTCCTTCTCCTCTTTAAATTTTTCAATGGCTTCCCATTTCCCTCAGAATGAAATGAAAACTCCTTAATGTTTTCTAAAATCCTTAAAATCTGACTACCGTTACCTCTTTAGTCTCATCTATTTCTCACTACTTTCCTAGCTAAACTCTAAATTTCAACTCCACTAAATTTTCAGTTTCTTAAAAAATCTAGGCACTTGTTTTTCTGTTTTCACATACTGCGTGTGCCAGCTCCTTGGGAGGCTCTTCTTCCCACCCCAACCCACTGCACTGCATAATTTCTCCTTACCCTCCCCTTCTGGTCGCCGAATTCCATCCAGGAAGCCATCCTTGACCCTTAGACTGTGTTAGTCCCCCCAGTGTGTTCCCGCTGTCCTTTTTCTTTTAATTTTTTTTAATTTTTAAAATTTTTTGTTTATTGCAGTAACATTTGTTTATAACATTGTAAAAATTTCAGGTGTACATCATTACACTTCTATTTCTGCATAGATTACATCATGTCAGGATGTGGAGAGAAAGGAACTCTCATACACTGCTGGTGGGAGTGCAAACTGGTGCAGCCACTATGGAAAACAGTATGGAGATTCCTCAAAAAATCAAGGATAGAACTACCATATGATCCAGCTATTCTACTGCTGGGTGTTTATCCAAAGAACTTGAAAACACCAATTTGTAAAGGTACATGCACCCCGCTGTCCTTTATCTTTTCTCCATGTCATCACATCTATCATACTGTCTTACCCCCCAAATGAAAAAACTTTCCCTCTCCCAGTGAACAAGTAATACATACTCATTAAGTATTGAGCCAATTGTAGAAATGATAACGAAGAAAGCAAACATCACCAATAATCCTAATTTCATGGCACTCTGATTATTTCCGTGCACATTACATATGGGCACTGTAAATTTAGTTTTATAACTTTTTCAAGTGAACAACTTAATCTAGACATCTTTATAAATGGTATTCTTATGTTTCAACGTACAATGGACCATTTATGTAACCCTATTATTATTGGGCATTTTGGTTGTTTCCATTTTCCCATTATTTTAGACACTTGCAACGAATATTCTTACCCATGCACCTTTTATACCTAATCAGTTATTTCTGAAGAAATACATTTACAGAAGTATCTATAAGGTTGGTATCAAATTATACCCCTTTCACAATGTTATTGCCTTTCCCCACAATCATGAAAATACTCATTTTATAAATCTTTTATCTTTTCAACCTGATCAGCAAAAGATGTTTTATTTTTCCTTGATTACTAAAACAGTTCAGCATCTTCATGTTTACTGAGTATTTTTCTGAGTCAACCTTCTTTGCCCAATTTTCTATCAAGTCAGGTTCCCTGGAAGCAGCACTTGAAATGGGGATTCTTGTGTAAGTGACTTATTGCGAGTGCTCTATATGAGAATGAGGGGAACAGGACAGGGAAGAAGAGGCAAAGATGTGGTTTCAGAAGTCTCTCTTCAGCCTAATCCCATGTGGAGCTCAGAAGCATAAATCGCACCACAGAGGGCAGAAGGCCAGGCTGTATTGCCCTGCATCAGGCATTGGCCATGGGCTGACCTTGAGGGGCGGGGTAAAACTTCCCAGGCATCTCCAGGTAAGGCGATTCTGTCAGCCCAGGACAAGCCTCCAGAAGATGGTGAAGAGCAACCGCTAGTGAAGCAGCTGGGAGATGGGTATACCAGCCTAGTAAAAGGAATCCGGGTGTTTTTTTTTTTCTTTTTTTTGCTGGGAAAGATTCACTTTGAGCTAACATCTGTTGTCAATTTTCCTTTTTTTTTTTTTTATGGTGAGGAAGATTGGCCCTGAGCTGACATCTGTTGACAATCCTCCTCTTTTTGCTTGAGTAAGTCTGGCCCTGAGCTAACATCTGTTTTTTTTTTTCTTTTGTGAGGAAGATCAGCCCTGAGCTAACATCTGCCAATCCTCTTTTTTTTTTTGCTGAGGAAGACTGGCCCTGGGCTAACATCCATGCCCATCTTCCTCCACTTTATGTGGGACGCCACCACAGCACGGCTTGACAAGTGGTGCGTCGGTGCGTGCCTGCGATCCGAACCAGCGAACCCTGGGCAGCTGCAGCGGAGCACATGCACTTAAGGGCTTGTGCCACTGGGCCAGCCCCAAACATCTGTTTTTGTACGTGGGTTGCCACCACATCATGGCTTGATGAGTGGCAAAGGTCCACACCCAGGATCTGAACCCACAAAAGTGGGCCACCAAAGCAGAGCACGCTGAACTTAATCATGCCACTGGGCCAGCCCCCTTCTTTTTCTTTCTCCCCAAAACCCCAGTGCATAGTTGTATATTCTAGTTGTAAGTCCTTCTAGTTCTTCTATGTGAGCCACCACCACAGCATGGCTACTGACAGTTGAATGGTGCGATTCCACACCCAAGAAACGAGCCCAGGCCACTTAAGTGGAGCCCACTGAACTTTAACCACTAGACCATCAGGGCTGGCTCGGGTATTTGTTTTTTTAAAACAATTTCTTAAAAGCTAAGGATGCTAAACCTCTCTGGAATATGCCTCGTAAATGTATTTTCCTAGTTCTTTGTACTTTTCTAACAGAAGATTTTTATAGAGACAACTTGATCTAGCTTAAATAAAGTTTTCTGACTTTGATGACCATGGTTTAGGTCTTTTCTAATCCAAGCTTATTTTTTTAAAAAAATTTACCTAGATTTTTCTCTAATATTTTATAAGTTTTTTTAAATTTAAATTTAATCCACTTGAACTTACTATGAGTGTGTACTGTGTATCTGATAGGGATTAGACTTGTTTTATTCCTAAATGATAGAACAGTAGCTGATACTCAGTAGGTACATTCTCTACGACAGGTCCTGCTCTGAGCCTTCTACAAATATTAATCTACTTAACCCCTGCAATGACGCCATAGGTAGGGAGAACAGATGAAGGACGCGAGGCACAGAGTGGTTATGTAATTTGCCCAAGATCACAGGGAGTAAGCACTAGCCAGTTGGGATTGTAACACAGGTAGCGTGTCTTCAGTCTTTGCACTTAACTGGTAGGCTGCACTGCCCCTCTCACATACGGAACCAGGTGTTCCAACATCACTTACAGAACAATCCATCATTTCTTCTGATAACTAGAGAGTTTCTGGACTCCCAACTCTTTCATTGATTTATATGTATTTCTGTTCCAATTACATACTGTTCAAATTATTAGAGTTCTGTTGCACTCTATAATACTGAGCAGTACGAGTCCCTCCCAGTGTTTTTCTATGACATTTCCTAGCTATTCTCAAACTTATTCTTTCAAAATACCAAGTCTAAAAACCAAACACATACATAAGCAAGCAAAATTATATACAGACATTTTTAGATTTTGTTAAATTCATAGATTAATTTGGGGGAGAACTGGATGTGCAATGTCTCCTCATCCAAGCAAACAGAATGTTTCCCTCCATGTATTCCAGTCTTAATTTCTCCCTTATCTTCATCTAAGTTTTCTTCATAGAGGTCCTACATACATTTCTTGGTAATTTATGTCTGTAAAGAGGGTCAGCTTTTAAAATGATATTTCATGACAAGTTATTGTTAATTAAAACTATTGGCTTTTGTGTATTTATTTTATAACTGAACACTCTGCTGAACGTTTATTAATGGTCCTGTCACCTGTGGCAACTAAACCAGCAGTGGTTCATGTTCTAACAAAAGTGAACCTGAGAAGGAACCTCACTTGCTGCTCTTCACTGGTGACCAGCCAGTGTGCCCCCCTCTTCTGAACAACAGGGTAAGCACGTATGCATAAAGAGAAAGCAGGCACACTTGCAAATACATAACAAATGTGCGTAAATTAAGAAGCCCCCGTGTTTCTAATCTTTTCCCAGCTGCTTCTCTTGAGTCTTTCAAGAAGACAGTCACATCTGCAATAACTCGACCTTCCTAATCTAACATGAAAGTCCTCAATATACTACCTGATGCAACTGGGGCTAATACATAGTCAGTTAGTTGAAAAGCAGACTAAGGTGGAGCATCAAAAAAAGTTGAACATACATCCCCTTAAACATTTTATTTGAGTTTAAAATATATAAATGTATACTCATGTGCCAATCTTTTAAAGAAAGGTCAAAGCCCGTTCTTGGGAGAATGGATCCACTGATGGGAGATCTAGTTGTCTTTCTCGAGTTCCAGTCTCTTTAAAGAAGAAAGAGAACTTAAGACTCCAGTGAAGCAATCCCAGTGCAGAATTTTTCCTGGATCTCCCCCAAATCTTAGTTGTCCTGCTCACACCTATTTTGACAGCAGTTCTTTTTAATGAGTCATCTTTTTCCAACCTTTTGAAAGCATCAACTTAGTTCTCCTGGGAATTCTTTTTTTGCCCCTCATAGTTGATCAGTTCTCATAATTTTTAATTAACTTACATGATTTTACAATGCTAAATACAATGGCATAAACAGACTTGTGAATAAACACACACCTAAAACTTCTGGTGAATCCAAGTGGGTGAAGGCAGAGGCAAGCTGGCACTCAAGGCAGTGGCAGACTTGCAGTGAGTGGGCTCAGCAGCAGCGGCCAACAGTTTTACGGAGGGAATGGAGGAGGCTAACCCATCAAATTGCTCGAGTGGAAGTCAGTCAAAAGTGCTTTATACATATATAACATATATAGATAGTCCTCAAAAATAACCACTTTTTGAGTAGTAAGATTAAAAATAATAAGCCATGTACATCAAGTAAGCAAAAAAGCACTGAGTTTTTAAATGAATAAGAAACATTTTAAAGAGTCTCTTGAAATATTGAAACATCTTCTTATTCAATTATACCTGTCGTTTGATCACTTAAAACAAAGGATAAACTAGTCTGTTTTTCTCTTGTAGTATATCTAAATTCATTAAGCTGGCAGTCTTTTTTTTTATGCTTCACTAGGTTTTGTTATTTTAATGGTTTGACTATAAAATCGTTTTTATAGACTACTAATTTCTAGCTCCAAGTGACAACAGTAAATCATACAAAGGTCTTATTTCTGTGGTTGCTGATGAACTACCAAAGGGAAGAAGGGAGTGTTGACAGAGACTGGGGGATTCTTGTCAGTCCTCACACTTGGCTTTTTTGCAAGCTGGAAGAGAATCATCATCTGCTTCTGATGACCGAGGTTTCTTCACTGTGGAAATAATTCCAAATGCAGTTTTTCTTGTTTCTATAAAACAAACAGGGAAACCACAGTGCTTGAAGACATGATTTAAAAAGAGGTGGTTTAACAAGTTTCACCATATTACTTTGACTTCCAGCATTAGTAAATGGTAAAACCATAATGAACTGCTACTAACGCTGATGCCATTTACTGTTATTACCTTTTTTCCCCCAACATATACAAATAACAGTACATTACTAATATCTACATTCCAAAAGGATTACCTCATAGGTAAAATTGCAGGGCAGGTTATGTCTAGGGGTCTATCCACGGCATCTTATGGAGCCAGACCCACGTCACAGACACTGGTGCAGCAGATGCTTTATGGATGGTGGAAAGAGGGATGAATCAAGACAGCAAGGACAACAGTCAACTGAGGTGCTCCCATGATGGCGCGTGTGCTAACTTCATTTTACAGCACGTACCTTATCTGTGTCCTTCACTAGATCATCAACGTCCCTCTGAAGAATCAATTGTACTGTATTGCCAAACCCAGAAATGCCTGGTTATGTAACAGGTGTTCAATAAATACTTGTTGAGTGAAGGAAGAAAACCAAACTCACAGGTTTATTGATCTCATATATTATTGGTGACAATGGACAAAAAAGAATGGGAATTATTGGATGTTTAGGTCAGGTTGGCAGCAGAGTTCAACTTACATTTAGCCAACTAAATAATGACAATGGGCCAGGTACTGTGTCATCTCTGGAGGGTATAAAGATGCCTAACACAGCACTGCTTGCTAGCACACACTAGGAGCTGAGAGCATTAAGGGCAAATACAATAGGAATGGAGGCACCCACAAGAAGGAACTCTGCCTGGATGAATCAAGAAAGGTATCATAAAGAGGTGACACAGGAATAAGAAAGAAGAAAAAAATGGAGAAGAAAGTATTCCTTTGCAAAGGCATGGAGAGAGAGATAAGAAGATCCTCGTATGTGTAGGGGATGATATGGCTGGTGTGAAGGAGGAATGAAGAAAAAATTAGAAAGAAATAAGGCTGGAAGGGTATTTTGTGAAGGACCACACTGCCATAAAAGAGAGGCAGATTAGTCCTGAGGAAGGACTAGGGAGGAGAGAGAGATTTGTTAGCTATGAAGGAGGTAGAATCAAAAGAACCTGATGAACATAAATGTAGTTAAGAATTATTCCTACTTCAAGTAGTAAAAGTAAAGTCAATTCTAAAGAGCTAAGCATTACCTTCCCATTTATTAGGATTAACTTACCAAGTCTACTAAATGTTTGCCATTTAAAAGTATTTTAATTTATAAAAGACAAAACTGTTCTCAAAGTCATTAAACTGACAAAATAAGCAAAGAACCTCAAAATAAATAGAAATTACCAATGATTTCCACTTCACCAAATGAAAAATGTTGCATTTAGAGATGTTGATTTATAACCCCATGATTCTGAGTAAAATTCTAGAAATCAGTTGAATGAATAAAAATATATAAAAATTAAATTGTGAAAACCAACACTTCGTAACAAAACAAAATGCATTAGTTTCAAAATTATTTTAGTTCCATCTCAGAAATGTTCTCTTTTTTATCACTTGAACTTCTTAATGTAAACTGACACACTACAAACAACTGAAAAATAAGACTTTTATAGTTATCAGATACAGTAACCCATTTAGTGTGAGTCTTTTAGAAATAATTAATAGCAAGAAGCTACAATTTGTACAGGGCTTTAGTTCACAAAGTGTTTTCCCATTAGTATTGCCTTTAATCATCCTGCCAAAGAAAATCTACAACTACCTCTACAGGAATTACTTACAAGTGCACTATTTTGTTCATGAAGAATTAGGGCAGGTGTCCCCAACATGTCCATCTTGGTCAAATGGCTGACTGGACACCAACCTCATCAATCACAGGGAAGCCTCTGGCCTTGAACCTCTTTCCTCTGTCCCTTCCCCACAACCTCCTTAGAAGTGCTATTCACTGGTTTCCGGAACCCCACAGGATCCATCTAATTCTGATTCCCTTGGCAAGCCTTCCAATGTTGAATGCCAGCTACAACATGTCCCAAGTCTTCTGTTTTCCAGGTATCCATTCCTGTACTGCTTTCAACAATTCCTCTCATGATAAGGTTTCTGGACCCTCTAAGAACCTATTAACCGTCTTCAGGTAGTGCTCCAGTGCACGTGTGTCCTTCTTAAATGTGGCATTCAGGATGATACAGATGCCTGCTGGGACTTCATCAGTGCAGAGGGTAGTAACAAGACTGAATCCCCTTGCCTCAGAATCCTTTATTTCTTCTAATGTAACCTAAGCCTGAATTAGCAATCTTAGGAACATACCACACTAATGTCTCATCCCAATGTCAACTAAAACCAGGGTGACTATAATTTACCCTCTAGATGTGTTAATTCTATAGGACAGCAGGCATAAACTAGGACTGCCCTGGCCACACTAGGGAGAATGGTAATGCTACTAATGTCCTCAAGTTTTTCTTTTAGTTTAGCTTCTATAACAGCCTAGCTTTATATATACCCTTTATTGAATAGTTGAGTTTTTTGAAGTCAAATTCAGAACTTCATAGTTTTCCCTATTAACATTTTTTTTAAGTTTTCCTTTTATGTTTTGGTCTATTTTGGAACACTACTTGTCATCCAAAATCTTGATGATTCCTTATATTCACTTAAAATAGACAAAAAATCCACTCTTCCCTAAGTTCAAGAAAATCTATTTGATAAAGTCCTAATTAGGTCATTCCTAGAGCTTACGTGATGGGGTCTGGGCTATATAATACAACAATCTCAAACGAAGAATACTGAAAACAAAAGCAAAATCATCTAATTCATGGTAAGTCAATACAGTAACTGGTTCTCCCAAGTGGAAATCAGATCGTTAAAATCCAGACACAGCACACAAGCCTTCAATAACCTAACTATTTGCATGCCAAATAACCTAATCTACATGTAGCAACCTACTCTGAAGTGTAAAATCCGTCAGGGTGATCAAGTAAACTGCTTCTTGACCACTACCACTAGTGCTAAAAATTACAGAGAATGAAGATAAAACAGCAGATTTTCCTTTTAGTAAAATCTCACTTTTATTCTCCAAAGTCTTGGCACATCAAATACTTCTAGTTCAATTTTTATCATCTGATGAATAAAAAATTCAGTGGCTTCCAGTAGTGGAATTAAGGTGAGGAGGTAGATACGCGTAAACAAAATGTTGAGTAAAAATGTATAGTCTGCACATACTTGAACGTGTAAACAAAAAAGGAGCAAAGAATCATATAAGTTGTAATAAATGTGAAAAGTTACATTTTGGGTTTATTAGCTGGTTTTAAAAAATGTATTTGCTGTTTTTGTGTTCCTAATAAATGGCTTAACGTATATTTTTAACGTTTCAGTTCTCTAAAGCAGTGATTTTCAGCAGGGAAAGCAGGCCCCTCTGGAGAGGAGGGAGGAGAAAGGGAAATTAGAAGCCTATCAAAATGTAGGCTGGGAGACATATGCAGAGCTTGAAAGAACACATTCAATACTCATTTCTGTAATGCAAACTATACTCATTCCACAAACTAAAGGGTGAGAAGGCATTGATGGGTATGGTTAAAACAGGCTGAGAAAAGATGACCTGAAAGGAACTCTGCAAGGCAGGATAATAAGAGTAGATATGGCTCAACAGTTTGATAACAATGATTGGCTTCTAACATGACCATTCAGTGTTTTTATTGGAAGAACTTGCTTACCTCCATGGAGAAGTGCTGCTCGGCAGTTGGTGGACACTGCAGCTTTGGCATCACTTTCAGACAGCCCAAAGAGCAACCCTCTGGTGGGATCATTAAGGATTTCAACCCAGAGTCAGCCAAGGACACGAGACTAACACAAACATAACCGGAAAGGCCAGCTCACCGTCATACAGAGAGAGAGGCTTTACTTCTACAGGAGGTCTTAGCCCAAAGGGAACATGCATCTGCAAAGAGGCTCATCTAACTCTAGGCTTTTATAATTTTATTTATTTATTTTTCCCCTAAAGCCCCAGTAGATAGTTATATGTCATAGCTGCACATCCTTCTAGTTGCTGTATGTGGGATGCGGCCTCACCCACGGCTGGAAAAGCGGTGCTTCAGTGCGCGCCCGGGATCTGAACCCAAGCCGCCAGCAGCGAAAGTGCGAGCACTTAACCGCTAAGCCACGGGGCCGGTCCCTAACTCTAGGCTTTTAGAATACAGAGTCCCTCCTTCTCCTTTTCCCATCTCACCCTTAATCAAGAAAACAAAGGAGGAAGCTCTCTACAACCTGATATAATTTGTTTTTGAAGCTATTAGTTGGAAAACTTACAGTAAAAGGTTAAGAAAAATATCTTGTTAAAGTGTAATATCATATCAAATTCCAAATTTCCTAAAAAAAATTTCAGTAACTTCTTACTCACGAAAGGATACAAGTTTGCCACGTCATATGGGCCTCTTATTTCTAAAGGCTAAAAATAAAACGAACAAAATATAGACACGAGAGAAGTTATTCATAACATTTCAATGACTTCATCTGTAGTAAATTAATAAGATGCTTAAGTATCCAAAAATAAGGAAGTCAATCGCATAAATTTAAGTCCTTATAATTTTGATGGGTTTAAGTTTTTGAAAATATAAAAGATCCTTGAAAATCATTCTGTAACAATATAAAGGAAAAACTATTTATATAAATAAAACTTGAAGCCCAAAAGGAATGGGGATATATTTTACTCTTCAGCAATTACAATAAGCAAATGCAGTTAAAAATGAAAACATGCAATAAATGTTCATTATATTACTATTTTAATCTCTCCCCTAGAAACTTTTCCAAGTTTTAACAAAGTACTTAATGCCAGACTTACCCTTTCTGCAGCACTAGATATAATTACATTCTAGAAAATAGAAAGTGATCAATATTAATCTTAGATAAATATAAAAAAATTGAAGAGTCTTATAATACAATAACCAGTAATAACATTTTAATATTCAAGGTTCTATAAATACCAACTTCCTGTAAAAATAAGGTAAATAATTAAAGTGAAAGAATGAAAGACCTCCTATCAAACTAAAGGCAGCCTATAGTAAGAGGTAGAACAGGCCTTCCCAACAGATCTTAGAAAAGATGAATAAGTTTTAAAAACTAGTTGAAAAGGTCATACAACCTTAATTCAACTCACTGATGACAAGCAACTGTTATCTAGACTATTCTTTTCACAGTGGGTAAACTGCAGATTCCTTACTGAAGGATAAAGGCTTTCAATACATCTTCTCCCACCTGGCATTATTCTTCCCTTGATATTTTTCTTTCCCTTAAAACCTGCAGAGCTGGGTCCGGCCCCGTGGCTTAGCGGTTAAGTGCGCGCGCTCCGCTACTGGCGGCCCGGGGTCGGATCCCGGGCGCACACCGATGCACCACTTCTCCGGCCATGCTGAGGCCGCGTCCCACATACAGCAACTAGAAGGATGTGCAACTATGACGTACAACTATCTACTGGGGCTTTGGGGGAAAAAAAAGGAGGAGGATTGGCAATAGATGTTAGCTCAGAGCCGGTCTTCCTCAGCAAAAAGAGGAGGATTAGCACGGATGTTAGCTCAGGGCTGATCTTCCTCACCAAAAAAAAAAAACAACAACCTGCACAGCTCATCGACAGGGGAGAATTTATTCTTGTGCCTTTCTGCTTTAAGGAAAATGACTCAGTTTGATAATTCGAGTGTATTAATAATATACTGCTAGATTTGAAAAATATCCTCAGTTTATGGAACATACCTTTCCTTTGCAGACCTGCATCAAATTGAGGGCATTGGAAATTGTGTACCTTCTCATTGTGGAGTCTTTGATAGCGGGGCTATAGACAAGTTCAAAGCCCACACCTCGGTCAATTGCCTTCACAGGAAATAAAGAAAGTGAAAATGTCAAGGATAAACACACACTGTCCTACAGTTCCCCCTTACCTCCCTCCTCACCTCCCACCACCCACCTCCTGCGTGTCAAGGTACAGCCTTAAACAAAAGCAGATTTACACCCGAACGGCACCACCCACAGGAGAAGAAAACAGATCTGTGGCTCTATTTGATCAACAGAGTTTATCTTAGCTGTGGGGAAGCTGACTTTGTATAAACAGAAATCATGGAAAGGTTAAGGAGAACAAGTCCCAGAGTGGTGGCAGAGGGCTGTTATTCCATGAACTATCAAAAGGAAACTGGAGATGTGCTCCCTACACTTAGAGTAAACTGTTTGCAAACAGTAAACCAAGTAATTTGACCCAAGAATGAAGAGACAAAGAAATGAAAAGCTGAAAAATGTCCAAAGACAGGGGTAGGAAGGCCTCCCGGGGAAATCATTTGTTATGTACATGTTAAATGAAAGAATACTAACAGCCATGTTGAGTGCCACCAGGCACTGTGCTGAGAGTCTTATGTACATATTTAACCCTTACAATACCTTTATAAGGCACTGTGGGAGAGACTGCTAATTGCCCCCATATCTGTTCTCCCCTTTTTCTTTACTAACAGAGACCCTGATTTTTAGCTGGATTCATAGATGCCCAGCAAAAAAGACAGAAGAGGCCTGGGCTCTTGATGATTTTGCGCAGCTCACCAGACAAGCTTGGTCTTTTACATGAGAAAAAGAAACTTTCTTATTTAAGGCATTCTTACTAGGTAGGCATCCACAGGTAAGAAAACAGCCTGAAAGGGGTGAAAATGGGATTGAAATCCACCACTACACTATAGTTTCCCTGATGAGCACCTCAGTATCTTTATCCATTCACAACAGATATGTGTTAAGCCAAGTATGCATGGGAAGGGTGAGCAAAAGCTGACAGGGTTCCTCCCTTTTAAGAGCTTCCAGTTTAGGAGGGGAGACTATCAAATAATTACACAAAAATACAAAGCTTCAATTGTGATAAGTGCTATCAAGGAGAAGTTTAAGAGTGGGTGAGGAAGGAATTTAACAGTAGAGGGAGGAGTATGTGGAAAGGCCCTGGGGTTAGAAGGAGGCATGGTAGTGTGCAGAGGTCATAGGCTGGGGAAGAGAGAATGAGGGGGCCCTGTGGTGGGAATGCAGGCTAAAGAGGATGGGATGGGCCAACAGTGCACATCTAGAACTGGAGACAGGATGACTGGAGACAGGATGAATCTTAACAGCAATGGGAAGCATCTGAAGGATTTTAGGATGAAGGTGATAATCAGACTGGCAATGGCAAAGCCATTGGTTGCAGTGGTCTTTTTTTTTTTGGTGAGGAAGATTGTTCCTGAGCTAAAATCTGTGCCAATCTTCCTCTATTTTATATGTGGGATGCCGCCACAGCATGGCTTCTGGGCCGCCAAAGCGGCGTGCACAAACTTAACGACTACGCCACTGGGCCGGCCCCTGCAGTGGTCTTTTGAATGAAAGGAAGGAAAGCAGGCACAGACCAGGAGGTATGGTCCAAGTCTGTGCTTGGCAAATGAGTTTCTACTACCCAGAGGATGAGTTGGGACTGATCCAGCTGTGACTGCTGGAGATCTACTCCAGAATCTTTACAGGGAATGAAAAAACCTGTCTTCTTCCAGAATTGGTAGCCTACCTTGATTTAATTCAGGTGTACCTCACAGGCTCCTTCTACTTTTCCTTCCTGAACACAGATTTCCTTTTTTCCATCCCCCAATCTTCTCTTTCCTTAACTCTTCCTCCTGCCTTGAGGCTCCCAGGTTTTATTTTAGATTTTCCTACATATCTGATATTAGTTTAGTTAGAATTTACATACTAATTTCCATACTGCAACCTTCCCCTCTCCCCTTTCCTGACAACTTTTTCCTACCTCTAACTCCTGTGCTGATTATTTCTGGGAATGACGTCTGTTATGATATTCTTTGTGCCATAGTTAAGCGTGCACCTCATTCTCCCTGCCCAGCTTGTACACTTCTTGTGAGCTGGCATCCTGATACTTCTTTGTAGCACACAACTGCCTTTTCTACAAAAAGTGTTTACTATGTTTATATTCTGAGTGAATAAACAGTATCTTATGGAAAAGAGGTCATTGATAACGCTGTTCATTACGGATTATCCATCATAAAAAGAACCAGAATGAACTTGGCTAACTGAAACTTACAGATAAACCAAAACACCTCCTTCAGCCATATTCTCAACTACCCTTCTGGCTCTTTCTCTTACCAGAACTACTAATTAGCCAAAGAGGCTGACATATTTCTTTTCTTCATCCCTCTTGTTGCTGAACTAAAACACAAGGCAGTAGGATGGAGAAGAGGGGAAATCAAAGATGTGGATGATACCCAGAACTGGGCAACCAGGTCCCAAAGTATTCCTAATCGAAATCTAAAATTTTAGCCCCCTCTGGGGACCAGATCAAAATAAAAACTTGTTTTGGGGGGGTAGGGTGGGGAGAAAAAATGACATAATTATCAGTTTATTTTTTAAGAAAAAAGTTCTGATTTTGATCTTAGCACATTAATCAAGTTCATATTTAAATAGCTAAGAAAACTCTGAGAGAAATTAAAGATAATGTGCTATTGAAGGTTGTGAGGATTTCTTTCATAACACATTATTTGAAATTTTTAGATAGATAAAATACAGATTCATTACCTAGGCTCCTGCTTCTAAGAACATTTTAATGTAAATTGCCTTAAGCTCATCAAATGCTTGTTCATAACAACCTTTTCATCAAGAAGGGCAGTACCTGCCTGATTGGCTTTTGTTCGCATCTCTGACCAAAGGCTCTGGAACAGACAGATGATTAGATTTCTTTACTAATGAGAAATAACAGTCATAATGATGCTACAAACCAAGGGCAGCTGTGTGACACTTCAATCAAGAGATATTGGTGGTAAAATTCCAAGAACTAAGCAAAACTTAAGAGAAAGAAAACAGGGAGTTCATTACTGGGACAATATACAGATTCCCTGTTAATTTCAGGAAAATTAGGTCTTTACTGAATTCAAAAGGATGATACCCCTGCGGTGTACCATTCTTTAAGATAGGTAACCTGTTCATATGAGTCACAAATCAAAGTAACATAAGAAAGCAATACAAAGTCTTACTTGTATCTCTGCTCCCATTTGCCCCATCCCCACCTCCCATAATCACTCAATTTCTGTCTTCTTCCAGAGTTTCTTCACACAAATATAAGCAAATATGAATATACACTATTTTTCTTCTTTCTTACTCAAAAGGTAGCCTGCCACATTCTTGTTCTGACTTGAAGGATTTTCCATGTCAGCTCATAACTTCCACATTCTGTTTCATAGCTGCATAGTATTCCATTGTAGAGGTATGGCATGTGTTTAACCAAGTCTCTACTGATAGACTTTGGGTTGTTTCAATATATTTGTAGAATAAACACTAAAGCGAGATTGCTGGGTATTATGGGTTGAATTATGTCCCCTCATAAAAGGTATGCTGAAGTCCTAACCTTTAGTACCTCAGAACGTGACCTTATTTGGAAATAGGGTCATTGTAGATGTAATTAGTTAAGATGAGGTCATACTGGAATAGGGCGGGCTCCTAATCCAATATGGTCTTTATAAGATATCAGGCATGTGAAGACAGAGAGACATCAGGGAGAACACATTGTGAAGACAAAGGCTGAGACTTGAGTTAGGCAAGTGCAAGCCAAGGACAGCCAAAGATTGCCGGCAAACCATCAAAAGCTAAGAGGCAAAAAAGCATTCCCCTACAGATTTCAGAGGAAGCATGATACTGATGACATCTTGATTTCAGACTTCTAGCCTCCAGAAATGTGAGACAATAAATTTCTGTTGTTTTAAGCCACACAGTTTGTGGTACTTTGTTATGGCAGCCCTAGGAAACTCATTCACTAGGTCAGAGGGTAAAGCACTTGTAATTTTGATAGTTGTTGCCAATTACCCACTCCCCCATATGGACTGTTCCAATTTACACTGCTACAAGCAACGTATGAGAATGCCTGCTTTCCCACAGCCTTACAACAGAGGGTATCATCAAACTTCCGGGTTTGTGCCAATCAGACAGGTGATTTTAATGTAAATTTCTTATTATGATGAATTTAAGTATCTTTCATGTTTAAGAGCCATTTGTACTTCCTCTCCTGTGAAATGTCTTTTTCATATTCTTAATCTATTTTTGGGGATTGTTCAGCTTTCTTTAACTTCTCAATTTCTAGGAGCTCTTTATATATTAAGGAGATTAGCCTTTTGTCTATGAGATGAGTGAATATATTTCTACCAGTCTGTCATTAGTCTTTTAACTTTGTTTCTGATGTTCTTTTGCCACACAGACATTTTTGATACTGGCAACTTTGCTGGCACTGGTCCAAGCACTGGGTCAATAAAGTACTCAACACATTTAGGTTCATAATATGTGTGATGAAAAATCATGTTTATAGAGCACTCATACCCAACTCAAGTATATATGGCATGATTCCTGGAATAACCTCACTGCTTCAGATACTATTTACTGGACATCTCTCAGTGGGGACTAACTGGACCATGAAGATAGAAATGGATTAAGGTTAAAGAAAGTGGTGAGGGGAAATATCAGAAAGAGCAGAAAACAGAGCATCACTGAAAATGACTCAATAAACTTGAAGTCATTGTTCAATGACAATAACATTGAAAACATCAAAGGGAAGGTAAAGATACGTACTGCTTACAAAATTTCTTCTTCTCAAAACCTCAATTCCTAAAGATCACGTTTTAAAACATGAAATTATTCTGTGCTTAACACAGTTCTGCTGTAAAGTAACTTTAAATAGCATTTTCCAGCAGGAAATGACAGCAAATTTAGAATCAAAGCTTGAGTACAAATCCCAAATCAACCCCTGGGAGAGAAGTCTATCTGTGTGAGCCACAAACTACCTGAGTCTCAATTCTGTTACCTACATAATGGAGATAATTCACATCTACCCCATCCTAAGGCTGTTGTGCTAAAGCAGGTGTGAAAGTGCTTTAACTATAAAACACAAAATAATTAGAAGTCATTCGATTATCCAAGAGAAGCTGAATTCAATTTTTTTGAAACCTAATTAGCACATGATAAAGCTGTGATTCCACAAGTTACTTAGACTCCAGAAGAGATCTGTAGGAGATTCTGGAGGGAATTACGTAACTGAAATTAGGGTGTCCTAAGCATGTGGTAAAGAATACAAAAAGGACAAGAGCTCTAAGTTATACAAATGGAGTGTTCTGGTATGCCCTAGCTTTTGGGCCCTCCTTCATAATCCCAACCTCTTTTTTTTAACCTTATTGAGGAATAATGGACAAATAAACTGTATATATTTAAAGTGTACAACGTGATGATTTGATATACATATACATTGTAAAATGATTCCCAAGATCAAGATAATTAACACATCCACACATCTATCACTTCACATAGTTAACTCTTTTTTTCTGTTTGTTTGATAAGAAGCTTAAGATCTACTCTCAACAACGTTCAAGTTTATAATACTGTATTACGAACTATAGTAACCCATGCTGTACATCAGATCTGCAGAACTTATTCTTCTTGTAACTAAAAATTTGTATCCTTTAATCCGAACCTTCTGATCTGATAATTCTCACATGGCTTATGGCCTCTAGGTAAAAGACTAATGAATTAAATATCTCAATGCTCTTGCTTTTCACCACCACAAAAGAAAAGGGTATCCAAATCCAAATTAAGATCTGTGCACAATAAAGTGATCCTTATAAGGCCAACCTACCAACTTTTCATAGCCAAAGATAAGTTTATTGTCAAGGCCAAAGGAACACGCAAGGACCAAGACTTAACACTGAACTCTTATGCACATTTATTACATGTTCTATACTTTCACAGTGACTATATTTCCATATTTTAATGTAAACATACAGCTCCATATCCAGAATAGATATTATCAGATAAAAATAATACATACATACTTATATAACTACTATAATTTACCCTGAACAACAAGCTGGATACCTTTTATTGTATGTTTACAGCTTTCTCTCAAGTGAAAATTAGAAGCATAAATTAATAGGGACTTTTCTGCTCCTGACCAATTCACACCGCAGCCTACTTCTACACTAGATGAAGACTAAAAATAATCTTGCACAGCCTTTCCCTCCATTCCATCATCTAGTTTTTATTAAACAACATATGTAAAATGTTCACACCAGATTTTAAAAAAAGCAGACGCTGTGTTAAATACTGCATATCCCTCTCACTTGTCAAATTTTTACTTTTCAGATTTCTTAAATTGAAAAATGTGGGAATTAAGCCAAAAATATCCACCAAACAGCAGCAGCTTTCCTGACCTTACAGATGGAATCGGAGGGTGGGATGTCCTAGCACTGCTGTCTCCAGTGCCATCCTTCTCCTCATGCTACCCCAGCGTCCCACTTCCCTCACGTGCATGCTTCCTGCCTAATGTTGACAACAAGCTAATGATGAACCAGAAGCAGCATCTGGCCATGTGCCCCAAGCTGGACCTTGATATGTCAAGTTAGACATGTACTCATTCAACTGACAAATTTTAGGGAGGACCCACTAAAAGGACCATGACACAGTTGGTACTCTCTAGAAGCTCACGAACTGGGTTGAATAGTCAGGCACCTTCATAAGAAACCAACTGAAAACCCTCACCAAAACAGCCATTGGGAAGCTTATGTGCTGTGCACTGCTGTCCATTCCATGGACTTGGCCTTAGCATCACATGCTACTATCTCCTCCCAACCAAGGACACAGTATCGTATGTGGGTTTACTCAGGCAAAATCATCTAGAAAATGGCCTTCCTAGTTCATTAAAGTGAAGAGAAAGGTAAAAAAGCTGTAAGTTTAATAGCAATTTACAGAGTGGCTGCACTGCATAACTCCAGGAGGTGCCATTTACATAGAAACTGGATTGGCAGTTTGAGGCTGCTAAAAAGCCTGGCAAACTTCTAGAGACAGAGACTACCACCTCTGGAGAGGAACAATATGTGAGGCCAACAAGACTGCCATCACCTTCGGGACTGTATTAGTTTGTGCCTTTTATCACAGGTGACTGGGGCATATCAGAGACCTCACTTGATAGGGAATCAACCAGAACTGTCCCAAGCTGGTGACTGAAGAGCCGAACGGCTTCTCCTTGCTAGCCTTCATTTTACCACATTTGATAAGTGGGCTGTTAAACAACATACATCTCCAACTCTAAAATGTGATGATTCGGGGTTTTTTAAAGTGTTTACTTATAAATTTGTAAGTACTGGCAAGACCATGGGTAAACGATTTGAGCTTAACCAATATTATTACATGTTCTGAGTACTCTCAATATTTATCAGAAAAGACCTGTTTTACAGTCTTCCCTTTAAATATATGACTTGAAAGTTCTGAGTAGTTTTCAAGTACAGTTTCAGTAGCATATTTTTAGGGGGCAGACATAAACCAACTTAAATTTTTCCACACTGGATTCCATTTTTCCACACCACATAGATCAATTTTCTCCTCTCATTCTCTCCCCCAATTTTCAGTATCAAGCCAATTCCTTAGCAGCAGAGACAGGGAAACAAAAATTGAGGAAGTTGTAGTTCTACAGAGACAAAAGAATAGAGGAGTTATCTATCTGGAAAAAATACATAAATTTTTAATTTTCTAATTCTGACAGCACTGGATTTGTAATCTGAGCTGTCTGTTAAATGCTTTTTCTCCTTTAATAGTAGTTTTTGAGAATGGGAGACAGTTTTGGAAGCCACTATTCTAAAACAGTACCCTAACCCTTCCTAGGATCTGGCTGGCAAATCAAACAGTTGACAGGTGTGCTACCCGTACAGCTAGTGATGTGAAATAATACCACCTTTATGATGGAATAAGACTTGCAAGAAGGCATGACAGATGGAAGATAAAGGGTAGGAGAAAACAAGAGAAATGATGTAGAAAGGTAATGAGAAAAATGCTACAGCAGAGGAAGGAACAAAAAATTCCCTGAATACTTGGCCACCCTTCCAGGTTATTATAAAAATAACCCTGGGCTTTTGGGTGAGTCAGCATCTTCAATGCAGATTTTAATTTTGCATGGACCACACCACTGTGCTTTCCATGCCCTGCTCCCTGCTGCACCCCTCCCGCCCCAGCTTGCTGGTGTCTCAGGAACCCTCCACATATTTTTTTCCCTACCCCTTCCTGACTGCTCTGTCCCCTTAATGTTCAAATTCAGACTGTAAGTGTCCATCACTATTAGCTACTCTCTTAAGAAGCATCCTTCATAAATTTTGGCTCCTAAGGCCTTTCAAAAACATCTTGATAATTTACTGGATATTTTTGATTTGAAGCTTTCTTTCTACCTTTACTCAGCTTACAAGAAAAAGTCCTCTTTCTAAACTGCCTCCTATTTATTTCCTAGGCTTTGTTTTTTCCCTGTAAGAACACTGGTTTCTTCTGCCCCTTTTCCAGTTTGTTAATGCAAGTTTCTACAGATTCACATAAAGAATGGAAAGTGCAACACTTACCACATTAATAGGGGGTCTTTTGAAGTAAAATGGTAGTTTCTCTGTTACAGTTATGCAGACTAAATCCACATCTAAATGTGTACAAGCAACCTGTCAAGAAGAAAAAACGAGGTAAAGCCAAAAGGAAAACTGGCACACATTAAGAATGGGAGATAGGATCAAACCTGACATACAGAAATATAAATAGATACGGTTACTCCATAGGCATTATGATGGTTGTATTGAAGTACATCTGTCCCTTTACAAAGTCAATGGTTAGCCATTCCTTCTCGTTTGGTTTGAACGGTTCAACTGTAATCTAGCTGAAGTAGAGTATGTCCAAAGATTGTCTCAACGGACAAGGCCCAGAGACCCTCTAACTCATGGTCTGCTAAATAAGGATGGGTTGCTAAGAGAGACTCAGTTTCTGGAAGGTTACTTCAGATTGTTCCAGAAAGAGGAAATTATTCTGAAACCCAAGAAAAAAATAAGCCAAAAGGAATGTATGTGTGGTCCATTTAGTCCACAAATTATTTATTTTTGTGCCAGGCCTGTGGCTCCTATCAGTCTACGGAGTGTCTGAAGAAATACTAACATGGCACTACCAACGGCACTTTGTTCAAATACTAATAGAAACAAAAACAGTCTACAGAAATGGTCAAAGCAGAGCCGTGACAAATCAAATGATACTGAATGCATTTTTTCAACTTGTAATTTCCCTTTCCTTTGTTCTAAGTTTTGCTACTACTTGTTGATCAATACTCTGCATTTACTTCCAAGAGATTTGAAACTACTTACAAAAAAATACATCCAAGATAAAATAAACAGATAAGGAAATCAGGATAAACAGAAAATCAGGGAAGGAAAACAAAATACAGCGGTGGAAAGGTTCCGAGCCTACGAGTACAGGCCAAAGAGGCTGTTGGAAGAGGCAGATCTGGCTCTGATTTTGCCATTATTTGATTTACAGTGATAAAAAGAACTGGCTGTTTTGTGCTGTACTTAAAACAAGGCTAACTGACAATGCAGGTGTACACAAACTTGATGAACAAATTCAAACTGCCAGGTGGCTGTGCGGGCAAACTAACATCAGTGGCATGGACCCAGGGAAAGGGCGGAGAAAGGAAGAGGGGTAGAGAGGGCTAATAATGCCCTGCAGGATCAGCTCGACCTTTAGCAGTGACAGGAATGTCACATCTTGCTGTTTTTCTTCAGAATCCCCACTTGAGTCCTACCCCACCCCACGGCTTTAGGAAGCAGGTAGTGATCAAGGGCTGCCTGGCTTAAGACAGTCATAGTAACTCAATAAGCCCAGGAAGTGACGCTGTTTTGGCAGAAATACTTGGCTCATAAAGAATCTGCCCCATTCCAACTGCTACAGCTGTCCAAATCATAAGAGTCATCGAAAATTTGATAAGAATAGATGAAGAAAAGCTCTGAATAGTAGATAAAAACAAGTTCTGCTTCTGTTTGCTATTTTTAAACTAACAGAATGGCAAAGATCAGAAAGTTCAGTAACACGCTGCTGACATGAGAGTGAATAAACAGGCACTCACGGGGTCTTTAAATCAGTACAGGGGCTTGAAGAGCATTTTAGCAATAGGTAGCAAAATTTTAAATGCACACATCAGCAATTTCACCTACGGGAAGGTATCCTATAGAGAGACTCTAGAAATATCTTCAGTAGCTATATACCCTACAAATGCTCAAAAATACTAGTGCGAGGATAGTCAATGCAACACCAATAACAAAAGACTAGACACAATTAAACATCCCTCAGTTTTACTCAAATAAATTATGGTTCCTTTATACAACAGAAAATGATGAATCCTTAAAGGGAACAAGGTACATCTCTAACTGGTATTATGGAACCACCTCCAGGATAAACTGTCAGCTGAAAAAAGCATGGTGTTAGGTAGGAAGGAAGGAAAGAGGAAGGAAGAGGAGAATGAAGGAAAGAAGGACTAGGTAAATACTGTTTCTGAAAAGATATACGATAACTGCTAGCAGCGGCTGCCTTTGGAGAAAAGGGAGAGGGAGCGTTAGGTGGGAGGAAGACCTACTTTTCAACGCAGACCCCTTGGTACTGTTTGGATTTATTACCATGAACATAAATTTTTCATTAAAAAAACCTGATTCATTTTTTAAAAGGCCGTTAAGCATTCTTCCCCAGAGTAAAGCTAAATTAGGTTATTTTCTTACTTATGTATTGCTTATTTCCCTCTCCTATATAATAGTAACTAATTTAAAAATATCCCTTGTGTTGGTTTAAGTACATTATAACAAACTTTCAGTTACAAAGGACAGCTCTACTTGGCTCCCTCTGACACCTCAAACTTACAATGTCTCAAACCGAACTCTTTCATTATCTAGCTTTCTATTAATCCAAATGTTCAACTGATATATTTAGATAATTATAAAATAAGAGATAACGTTCACATTATAAAGAAATACTTTCTCAATCATTAAAAAAGATTAACTTCTGTCCAAATAATATTTGCGGTTAAGAATCTTATCATAGTGGTTTTGGCAGGTTGTATATGAATTCATAGCAATTGTTCTTATCTTTTTTTTCGTCCAAAGACTCCTATGAGGATTTAAGTAAGGTGTATTCCCAAAACTGCACATACACACACATTTATCTTTGATCTTATGGAACAAGGAGAACAGATGGGTAGGGGTTCATTCTCCCCCAAATTCCCTTAATGGATGTCAGGTTAATACATCTTGGCATTTTATGATAAAATAGTATGCAAGGGAGAGTCAGGCTCACCCAGGGAAAAGAGAGATTGCCCATAAACAGGGCCTCTCAACCTAAAGTGTGAAAAAAACAAATTCCCTTGAAGAATTTCTTCAAAATGGAGATTACCAGGCCTGACTACCAGTAATAAGTTTAGTAAGTAGGGCCTAATAACCTGCATTTTAACAAAAAATCCCCAGCAATTCTGAAGCCAGTGGAGCCAGACTACACCGTGAGAAGCACTGTCTTGAAAGATCTTCCCTCTCCTCAAGAGCCTCAGGTGTTCATTGCATACTCCACAATACTGCTCTTCAGAGGGTAAGGCATGGATTTTAGAAGCTGGAAGAAAACAGAACTTCCATTTCCATTTATTTTTTAATTCACTCTTAAAATTCGTTTGTTTTGTGTGTGTATATTATTTCATAAAGCATAGTGGTATAACGGAACATGCAAATAATTTATAAGAAAATAAACATACACATACCAGGGATGCAGGCTGAATATTTTTTTAAATTGATAGGATACACAATCAAAGTAGTTTGGAGACCACTGGACTAAATAACCTGAATTCTCCTCACCCTTTCTAGTCGCTTTAAACCCTAAATGGGAATAACTAACTCAGAAGCTCCTGAAGCTTCTAAGTAACTCTCTCTGCCACATTCCACTGCCGCCCCCCAAACCAAGAACGCCTGACCGATGGATTCCCCTTACAATCTTTCATCTTTGCCTTATCCCCTGGAGTAACTATGGAGAAGAAGGGTTTATTTATGAGACATCTTCCAGATACTCTGAGTGGAAAATAGTTATGTTATTTTCCATGGAAACAATGCTATTTAAGGTGGTTAGATTTTATACTACTAATTGTTAACATATGTGTGTGTATGCTTTTATGACTCATCTTAGAGACCTAACTTAGCTTTAGAGTATCATATCTACAGGGACACTTGTTTAAATTCTAGATAATCCACTTACAAACTAAACAAATAAAATCATTTATAGAATGAAACCTGTTAAGCAACAAACTGCTTGCATTTGATCCAATTCCAAACATGATATACTTACAAAAGCTTTATGATTAAAAGAAAGACGTCTTTTTAAATTGATTTTCTATAGACAAGAGAGAGTGATAACTTCAGCTGAGTCTTAAAGAATGGGTAAGATTGGGACAGATAAGATGATGTTCCAATTTTAAAAACTGTTTTTATGTAACTTTTTGAGTATATCTGTACAGTCAATTGCAAACAAATACTTTGTGAATTATTTATAGCTTTCTTCCATCTTCCAAAATATTTCCACCCCATCATCAAGCATGTGTTCATGCTTTTGAATTCAAAGTTTCAAATAATCTGAGAAAAACAAGTACTAAAAGTAAATAAGACAAAATCACTAGATGAAATTATAATGTATTCTAAAACCCAAAAATCCTAACTCTACTACATACAACCCGAGACTTGCAGCAAATCATTTAACCTAAGTCTCAATTTTCTCTTCTACAAAACGGGGATAGTAATAAATATTTGTCCCGACTACCCCCAGGATTGTTGTGTTAGAAGTAATAAATACGTAAAAGCCTTTGGAAGAATATATAAATGTATGCCTCCCAGCTGTGTGACTTGTTAAATGTTTTGTTTCTCTAATTACCAGTAAATGGCTATGGAAATGTAAGTTGCATGCTCTTCAAAATCAATTCAAAAAATAAATGTACAACAAAAAATTGGGCACATTGCCAACTTTTAGTCTACATTATAACTGAGTTATTATTTAACAACAAAACTAGGTTGCTGTTTAACAAATTTGAAAATGTCCATGGTCCACCTCAAGGTTTCCACAATGAATCAAAATCCTCTGTGGAACTTGAGAAAACAGATACCCAGACTCAACCCCAAAGCTACTGGATCAGAATCTCCAGTAGTGGAGATATGAACCTGCCTGATTTTAAACAGTTCCACAGGGGTCTCTGATGAGTAAGAACCACTCTATCCTACTCACCTCTTTTCCTGAAATGAAATTTTTGGGAATTACTATAATTGAACATTTTATAAAGAGAGTCACCAAAAAAAAGGGCATTCATGGATAATTTGTGCTGTTTTCTTGCATTAATATAAACAATTAAGAATTGATAGCATGCCTTGAAAACTAAATTTACGACACATCAGCCTCCTTAGTTAACAGCTCCATCTACTGGATAAACTTAGAGAAAATCTTTCTATAATTTTAGAACAGGTTTTGCTTAAAAAAGAACTATGGTGTAAAATTAAAACATCAAAGACCAGTACATTTTTTTTTCCTACAATATCCCTTTTGCAGATATTCTTTTGGCAGATGGCTATTTTTTGAACCTAGATAAAGCCAACATTCAGAACTTCCTAAAGTAGCTATACTTCATTTTACACAGTAAAACATACTCCTGAAAAACTATTAGAGTTGATTTTTTTTTTCTGTAATCATTTAAAATGCCCAGGTGGTCTTCTCAAGTTGACAAAATGAGCGTACATGTTAAACAACTTTCTCTCCTGAAAAGTCACAGAAATGGCAATTTTAAAAGTATAAAAGGAATTAAATTTGAAAAGGCTCTCAGAACACAATGGGAAACAGTATCAGCAGAAGGTTGATTTTGAGGAATTTCTGGAAGACTGAAGGTTGACATCATCATGCTGGCATGTGGACCAGACCTCAGAGCATGCAAAGGAGAAAGCTGAAAGAGAGATGGGACCTTTTATGTCACAGCAGAACCTTGTACCTTTCTTCCCTCATAGGCAGCAGCAAACAATAAGAAGGGCAGAAACTGAAGTGATTTTAGAGCTACAAAGAGATGGACCAACATTTACCTAAGAGAAGTTTCAAATGAATGAACGAATGAAGCAGACATAAAGAAATAGAAGAAAAACTTGATGGACTTTTTCAATCTGAGCTCATCAAACATCTAGCAGTATGAATACAACAAAACAAAACAAACACATGCCACCTAAATACCCTGGTGGAATTCCAGAGCTCCAAGTATAAATGAAAAATCCTGAAAGTTTCCAGATGGGGCAAAACAAGTCACCTACAAAGGCATAACATCAGACTTCTTACATAAAATAATAAATACTATTTTCTTTTACTATCTGTTACTTACATGAAAAAGTTTTTCTGTCTTTGGAAAAACTGCAACGATATCATACAGCCGGACCCTTGAAGAAGTTGCTCTCTGGGAACACAAAAAGAATGTTATCATGGAGTAACAACAAGTATACACATGGAATTCTGACTAGTGGCCCGGCTGTACTTAAATTTCAATCATGTAACACTTCTCATATGCCAAGGACATTTCTGCTTTGTTTTGTATGTTGGCAGAAAAGACCTTTGAAGCCCATGAGAATTCAGATACCAACATCCATTCCACTAATCATCCCCCTTCCTTCCTACACTGTTACACTTTGTGTACTAAACATTGTATTCTCTCTCCCCAACTAGATCCTTCCCACCAGCAGGCACACTCAAGTCTCTCCCATCTCGTGAACAAAATCTAGACAGCAGGTCTCATCCACCAACCTCTCTATGCCTTCCATTCCCCTATGGAGTCAAATTTCTCAAGCAAAGTCACCATCACACTGTATCCATTTTCTCACATCCCTACGATTTCCATGGAAATGGTTTTTGCTGAGGCAACCAATGACTTCCCCATCAATAAATCCAAGACATTTTTTAGCCCTTCTCCTGCTTCTCTACTCAGGCACATTGATGCTGCTGACCCTTCCTCACTTTTCCTTTCTCACTTTCCACGCTGTCCTTCTCCTTCTCAGAGTCCCTCCTCAGTCCCTAGCTCTTCCTCCTGTACTCCACCATTAAATGCTGAAGTTCCTCAGGACTCTGTCCCAGACCTTCTCTTCCCACATCACACTTTAATCAGGGAGTCTCATCCGTTCCCATGATTTCAATTACTCTCTACAGGGCGACCCCTTCCAAATCAGTATCTTTAACTGGGATCACTTTTCTGAGGGCTACACCTTTTTTCCCCCAAATGCCCATTTAACAAACTCCACTGGAACTCTCATAATAATCTATTGTGTCCCAAAAACGATGCCCTCAAACCTGCTTCTCTTTGCTTTCCCTTCGGGAAATGGTTCCCTTATCTACCTTCCAGGTTGCTCAGGCTACGCCAGGGAGTCATCATTCTACATCCAACCCACCATCAAATCCTGTCAATCCTCCCCCTGGATGCCTCAAAGCCCCTCCTTAACCCCTTCTGACCCATTCTCTATAATGCAAACCTGATAATTTTATTCCCTTGGTTAAAACTTTCAGGGGCTTTCAACTGCTCACCCAGACCTACCTCTCTAACCTCATCCCAGGTTAGCCAGCTCACTAGGCTCAGCTCTATTGGTGGTGTTTCATTTCCAAGAACACACTATGTTTCTTTGGCCTCAAGACCCTTGCATAATCCATCCTGCCTGTGGGAACACTCTCTCCACGTATATAACACTTACTGATTCTTCTGGCCCCAGTTTGAACATCAACCTCCTCACGTTGGCTGCCCTGTTACATGCTCCCAGAGCATCCTTTATTTACTATCTCCGACTTTTTAAATCTTCCTCATGTTTTTAATTACTATTTGTATAGTGTTTGTCTTGCCAATTAGACTATAAACTTTATAAGTTCAAGATTTGTGTCTGTATTCTTCACAGCAATATCTCCAGCACCCACCTTATATCTGGTTCATATGAGTTCAATAACAGTGGCCAAAGGAATCTTTAACTGTGGTATCCCTACACATGTGCCACGAGGAGAAGAGACTCTGTTATACTATATGAATTCTGAGGATAGGGAGAGCAGGCATGTGTCACACATGGGAGGCGGTGGGGCAATGTAAGACGAGGGTGAGTTGAAAAACAACACCGTTCAACATTAGTCAATACAACTTAAAAGGCCAAAAAGAGAGAAGAAAAATAATTAACTTACCAAAACATTGCAGTGAGATGGATCCGAAACGATAATCGTCAGTCGAGTTAAAATTTTAATTGGTCTTGATTTTCCCTATAATCAAAAACATGCTATCGAAAAAGCACAAAATACAAACTATTGATTTCCCTCTTTATCAGTGGAAAGTACTCATTAAAAGGTCCCAGCAATAAGGGATTGTGAAGATTAGTAAAACCTAGTCTTCATTCTCAACGAGTTTATGATACAGCGAGAGGAAAAAAAAAGATGTACATACATTAAACTACATAATGAAATAATTTAAAGGTTGTAGGACTTCAGGAAAAGAGGATCATCAAAGTACTGAATTGATAGTAAGAGAATGTTTCAGAGAAGAGCTGAGTCTTGATGGAAAGGTAAGACTGGTCGACAGAGGAAGGGGCAGTGCAGGTTAGAGAACTGTACATATAAATGGGCATGTTTGAATGAATGAATAGATATTATGCTTCTTAAACAACAAAACACCTACCTGTACAATTGGCAAAGTTGTAAAGAGTTCAGAAACAGCTATTGGTTTTTCAATTTCCTACAACAAAGAATCAAAAGTCACCCCAGATTGTACATGTTAATGGGACAGAGCCTATGGAAATGGAAAACTTACAAGAGGTTTTCAGGAAAGATAATTAAAAAAAAATGAGAAAGCTAATTTCTGGTATTCAGAAACACTAAAGTTTTTTTGTTTTTTCTGTTTATTTTTTAAAGGAAGAAAGCTGAAGAGCAGAGAAGTAGCTGAGCATATCAATGGACAGGAGAGATGAAAACTAGTGTTTAAACTGAAATAATCTATAAGGTACAGTTGTTGGCCAAAAGAGAAATATACATATTTATCAGTATGTTTCAGGGGGAAACCAACGAGTAATGAGTCCATAACAGTAAAATAAAAAGGACTAAATATTGTGATTACAGTTCAGTCAATAACAATGCACTTTTTATAAGTTATTGAAAGTTACTTAAGTAACATCAAATCAACTTTAAAAATCCTTACCCCACACCTTAGTACTTCACAAAAAACTTTATCACTAGCACAAATATGCATCAGCTCGAATGTTAACATACAAAATAAGACAGTGCACAGAGTACATTTAAGAAATATGCTCATCTGTAACTTCTTATTACCAATATAAACACAAATAATTATAAATTCTGGTTATTAACTTCAGAAATTGTATTTTACCTGTTTCTTTTCCTTAAATTCAACAACATGATTGATGGCAACAACTGAATAGCCCACTGAAAAGAAAAATTGAACATTCTTGTTAAATATAACCACCTATCTTTCCTGTACACATAGGGTCATCCCAATTCGTGTCAAGACTAGAAGGCAGTCAGCAGAATGGTTATGGGTCTGGGCTCTGGTGTCACACTGCCTGCTTTCAAATCTAGCATCACGCCTTACATGTTACTTAACCTTAAGTTTCAGGTTCTTCATCTGTCAAATGGTGATAATAACAGAACTTACCCCATATGTCTGTCACAAGAATTAAATGAAATAACACAGGTACGATGTTTTACAACAGTGCCTGGCACGTAGTCAGGGCTTTATGTGACCTCTGTGATGTACTATTAGCATGATACTAAAAACCCTTAACTTTGCGCTTCTTTCAACCATCATTCTCTTTCACATCTCTCTTTTCATTTTCATCCCATCACGTTTATACCTTTTCACTGTCACCTTTATTCTCGCTCATTTCTTTTGCTTTTTACCCTTTCTACTTCCTTCAGAGGCCCCTTTCCTAAGGAAAAATGGAGTAATGACTCCTCACACCACTGCCCACTGCCCCTTTTGAGCTGCCCACCATCAATAGATTGGGAACTCTTTGAGGCCAGGGTCTTGTTTTATCAGCAACACAGCACTGTTCTGGACATTTGTACTACCAAAAATATGTCTAAATCTTGACTCCTATCTTTAAGTTATTAAACACCAATGGGGACGACAAGATATTAATATTAAAAGATAATGAATATTAATGCCAAAATAGTGATCCTCCCTCTCATCAGTTTGTCCAACTTCCTTCCTCCCTCAGATATTTATTGGGCCCCCACTACTTGACTGGCCCTGCAGAAACCTCTTTATTTTTAAACCTCTCTATCCCCACACTTCACAATATGAGAAAGAAGAAAGCAGTCACGATTAACTCCAATAATTAAAACGGGGTCTTACCTCTCACGGCTTTCGCTTCCCTTGGATTCAAACATGAGTAATATCCTAGCATTTTGGCCATGCTGCTCCCCTCCCACCCGCCTGCTATGTCCCCCGCCCTCACCTACCCACCCTCTAAATAATATTATTCCAACACTCGCACCCCCATGTCCCTCCTCCTCTTCTCTGAGCCCCCACAGCACTCCTCGTCTGTGCTGACACTGTCATGAGAGGCAGGAAGGGGTGATATTATAAGCACTGGTGTAGGAGACTGTACACTCAGAATCCCTGGCTTCTGCCGCCCATCAGCTGTGGGGCCCTATGCAAATCCTCCACCCTCTCAGGGCCTCAGTTTCCTCAATTTATAGGAAAGAAGGAGCTGGAGTGGGTAACAGCTCCTCAGTGCCTTCGAGTTTCCCGCGCCCAGGAAAAGCAACACCGCAGCGGGCATCAGCTTCCAGGGACATCCGAGAGACCCCAGGAGACCTGAAAGAGTCCCGGCCTTGCCGGGTCCTTCCCGAGCCCGGCCCGACTGTCTAGGGGGCAGCGAGGATGGGCGACTCACGATGAGCGGCGTTCTCCACGAGCCCGCGCAGCGCCTTCAGGTCCGAACCCGCACGCAGATCCAAGTCGGCAAACACCGCCATGCTGAAGTCACATGACGCCCGCGCCCGTCTGCGCAGCCGCAGGGCCCGCCCCCTCAGGCACTCTGGGAATTGTAGTTTACCTGCGTGGTCGGTGCCTCCGTCCAGTGGACTATTTAGTTTGAGGTTGGCAGGAGTTTGCCTCGCCTTCAAGTACTACCAAAATTAGTGTGTTGAAATCAGTAGCTTCGCTTTAATCCTTCTTTGTCTTCTTCTGAATGAGAATGTTTGGTTTCCCCCGAAGGGGTTTAAATCTCCCAGCATTCCTCCTATAAAATAATGTAGAAAGTGAGTCTTTCGAAATGCACGTGTACAGGATTTATTGAGCGCCTACCATGAACCAGACACTTTTGTTAGGGGATGGAAACGCTTTTAAAAAGTCATAGGGAACCTGTTTTTCCTTAGTTCCCCTATAGTCTATTCTGATGTTTAAAATGGATTTATCGGGAAGAGGAGGAAACCGACCTGAAGACCTCCAAAGAGGACTGCCCGAGAAAAGGGTCTTTTTGCCCAGTCAGAACTGACGGTGTCGCAGCACGCTGCTCTCTGTCACAGTCAACATCTTCAACCACAAGATGGCAGGGCTCTCTCTAGGATGAGCTGTTAACTCCATCACTGGTTTAGCCCAAGACAGGTTTGATAAAGGAAGTGCAAAATTGAAATGTTTTACAGTTTTCCATCTGAGAAATGTACAAGGTGGTGTATATCCCACGCGTTTGATGTTTCCACATTTTGGACTTCGCATAAATGAACTCTTAAAGATTGATAAATCAATTATCCGACAACATAAAATTGTGGAACTATAGTTTACGTCGGTGCTTCTCAACTATCTTTGATGAAGGTCCAGTTTCCCTCCGCCCCCAATTCTTCACAGACCAGTATGTGGTCCCTTGTGCACTACCAGTAGGCACCTCTGGCCTCAGAAGACTCATTTGACAACTTCTGGACTGCTCTATGTTGAGCTGAATAGGAAGAGTCCACTGACTGGGGGCTTGGATATCTGGACAAGGCCAAAGTGCTGTGAAAATTTCTAAACATTTTCAATTTCTGTACTTACTTATCACAAACAGTAGACAGATAGTCTCTGGTCTGTGGACCACACATTAATTAGTACCCCTTTACATGATTTCTTTCTTGGTCTTAGAAGGGAATTTTAAGAGGGATCTGTTCCATGTAGTAGCATGCAATTCTCCTCTTGGTTGACTTTTATAAAGAAGAAATATTTTGCTTTTTCCAATACTTGTTATTTCCTATGTAAAAATAGAAGAAATTTTGAGTTCTGCAAATAGAACAAGGTCATACAAAGCAAACCCATTGCTTATCATCAGAAAATCTAGTTAATTTTGCAGGATCATAGAGGCATCTTCATCTATGACCACAAAATCTAGATTGGTCAGAAATATGACTGATGTGTGGTGAAGGTGAATGAGATACGTAATTATTCGATGTCAGCATTAGACTAAAGAAGCCTTCTCTGAAAGTCATGATGCTGTTGCTGTGAACTGTAGCCTTTAGAGTTCTTTGCTCATCTTCACCCTGGGCCTAGGTGAAGAGGAAGAGAAAGGGTGACAAAGAAAATGAATAGGTAACAGTCACTGAGCACTTTAATGAGGGCCAGCCAATTTGCTAAGTACTTACCTACATATCTTATTTAATTTTCAAAGCAAAATTAAGTACTATCTTTTAGCAACATCTGCGTTTGACATCTGAGAAATCTAAGGCTTAGGTAATGTTGGTAGAACTACACGTGGCTCCAGGCGGTTTGGTTTAGTTCTCACTTTGTGTACTGTCTCCTGGGTAAAGCAAGCAGAGAGGAGGGTTGGAGGATGTGAAAGGAGGAGGGAGAGAAGATGAGGGAAAGGAAGAAGAGAATAGAGAGCTGGTGGGAAGAGGAAAGAGGAAGTAGGGAGGGAGAGGAAGGAGAGGAAGGAGGTGGAAGAGGGGAGGGAGGAGTGGGAAGAGACAGGATGTGATAGGGGACAGGAAGAGGGAAGAAGGGTCAGAAGTAGGCCTGGAAGAGTAGCTGAGGCAGCAAGGACCTGGAGTTTGAAGAAGACCCTGGAAATTTCTGACTGGAAATTAATATTACTGTACGATTCTAAGTACTTTGTATCCATTATCTGACTTAATCCTCACAGCCAGCCAATGAGAGAGAGATTGTTATTCCTGTTAGATCAAGGAGGAGTCCTGCGCTCAGAGGGGAGAGCTCCTGAGTCATTTCCTCTTCCTTGGGATGCTTAGAAAGAGAGAGTGGGTTATGGGATCCAAAGAACCTTCAAACCCTTCTCAGTCTCCCGAAAGACCTCTGTTTGTTGGGCTGGCCCCTAAAAGTCAGTCTGTGCTCGGTTAGTCTTTGTCCTTATCCTCTTTTCATTTGGTTTACCGTAACTTCCCGGGGGAACCGAGAAACACTCCACCAGGCCCCTGTCCTCTGGCAGCTTAAGGCTGAGGTGGGGCAAGGCAAGAAAGCAGTGTTGGATGATTTGCACAGGGCTGTCAGGAGAATCTGGCAGAGTCTTCTCTCCCAGATTGAGGGGGAAATTTGGGAGATTTGGAGAGGATAAAAGATGGTTTCCTGGAAGAGGTAATGCTTGAATTAAATTTTGATGCATGGAATTGAGGAGTAACAAGATGCAGAAGTCTGGAGTGTATCCAGAACTGGCACAAAGTGGGTGGTACTCAGTCCAAGTTGCAGATTTAATATATATATTTATATATATGTAGAGAGAGAGAGAGGGAGAGAGAATATATGTATATTATATATATATAGAGAGAGAGGGAATAGAGTATATGTATATATATAGATATAGGGTATATACATAAAGAGTATACATAGAGAGACTGTAGAGTATATATAGAGAGATAGATGGAGTATAGAGCATAGAGTGTATATATACAGATACAGCATATAGAGTATATATATTAGTATACAGTATATATAGAGACAGTATAAAGCACATATATAGAGAGTATAGAGTATATATATATAGATACATAGTATAAAATATATATCTATATATAAATAATATATGTATATATATATGGAGAGAGAGAGAGACAGAAAGAGATTTTTAGAAAGGAATTGGCTCATGTGATTATGGAGGCTGACAAGTCCCAAGATCTGCAGTTGGCAAGCTGGAGACCCAGGAGAGCTGATGGTGTAGTTCCAGTCTGAAGGGAGGGAGGCTTAAGAACAGGAAGATATTTCAGTTTGAATGCAATGACAGGAAAAAGCCCTTGTCCCAGCTTGAAGGCAGTAAGGAAGGAGAAATCCTCCCCTATTTGAAGAAGGGTCAGCCCTTTTGTTCTATCCAGGCCTTCAACTGATTGGATGAAGCCCACCCATGTTAGGGAGGTTAATCTGCTTTACTCAGTCTACTGATTCTAATGCTAATCTCACTCAGAAAAAACTTCATACACACACCCAGAATAATGTTTGACCAAATATCTGGGCCCCCATGGCCCAATCAAGCTGATAGATAAAACTAACCATCACAATGATGCTGCCTTGAAATTGTTTCATATTAAGGGGGAAAAAAAAAATTGCTCAGGCACCTAAAACTTTTTACCAAAGGCAAGTTTACAAAGAATGTCTATTGCAGGCAAAAGAAAGAACAGGTCCTAAACAGAAGCTAGCGTTTGCAAACGTAATAACTATGCTCAGTACGTTGGAAATATAGCTTAGAACTTGCAGAATAAAATACATGAAGAAACTAAGTTATTTCTGGCATTTTCTATTGCAGCTGATAGGCAAGTAGATATATAAAAGCTATTTGTGTTGTTGAGAATTTTGACATGACTAAATATCTTTTGGAAATGGTGCCCAAAAAGGCACATCTTGAGGAAGTGGCTTATTTTTGTGTATGGAGAAGAATTTTGAGAATTTTAAAGTAGACTTGGTAGAATAAGTAACCATGACTACAGATGGGACTCCTGCAGAGGTCATTGTTAACACCAGACTTATGAAACATAAGCACAATCTGACAAGATTTTGTCAAGACACAGAATTTTAGCCAATTTATTGTACTATTGACCAGAAACCACTTTGAGCTCTAAACTTAAAAACTATACAAATAACAGCCATGGTAATTAACCCTGCACCCCCCCCCCCCCCACACACACACACATGGTTCATGCTCCAAATAGCTGTACTGGATGCTGAGAAAATTTTGAACTGCTGAAAGAAATTTACCTATTAATGTTAGCAAGGAAAAAAATCTCCACCTCACTTCGTCAGTGAAGACTAACAATTTTGGTTCTTTCAGTTGATGATATAAGCCATTTAAATACTCTGAATCCCTCCCCTGCCCTTTAAAAAAGCATACAAACTAATTTGTTCATATATAGAAAAATTGTGTCTTTGGAAAATTCATCCGGCTAGGAATAATCCAGTTCATTCGCTGCACAGAAACTGGTTTCCAGATATGAAAATTATGGTCTAACTTCAAATTGCAGCACCAAATTGTGGACTTGAAGACTATAATCCAAAAAAGGTACTCTGATTTAAACTTTATCATAAACTTTATGATAATACTGCTTAATTTGCCCTTTTCAATTAATATCATTAATGTGAATGAAAATTACAAAAGAAGCTTTGCTATTTAAGCACTTACATAATAGCCTCAATTTTGCACCTCGTCCCATAAAACCTAAAATATTTACTATCTGGATATATGTATATAACTTTACAGAAAATGTTTGCTGAACCCTTCTTTAAATCAGTGTTCCACAACAGTGTTGATACCCTCTATTCGACCTCCCAGCCAACCCAGGGGGGCATTTGAAAATTTGTGTGGGTATTTTTTTGCTTGTCACGATAGTTTATTGTTTTAAATTTATTGTTGTCAAAATAATTGAGAAGTGAGGTGGTTGCTCTTAGCTTCTAGCTTTTAGTAGGAAGAGGCCAGGGATCCTAACTATCCCACAGTGTATGAGAAAGTCTTAGACAATGAACACTTGTCCCTCGTCTTGCATGACTTTTGAATATCCTGCCAGATATTCACATGAGGTAAAGCTTGTT